TGGGGTCGAGGCGGAAGTCATGAAGAAGCTGGATTAGATATAACACTTTGCATGAAGCATTCGATAGGCCTATGTATTCAGCCTCTGTGGTCGAGGTAGCGACCACAGATTGCTTCTGAGACTTCCAACTAATAGGTCCCCCAAATAGCTGATAGACGTAAGCGCTGGTGGATTTACTATTGTCTCAATCTGCAGCATAGTCCGAGTCCGAGTGTCCAACGAGTCCCTCATTCGATGAACCGAAGATGAGTACTAAGTCTGTGGTTCCATGGATGTACCGGAGAAGATGTTTGAGCTGACGATGGTGGTCGATACTGGGGTTCTCCATGTATCGGGAGAGGCATGAAACTGGGTAAGCAATGTCAGGACGAGTGGTTCGCATAGCGTAGTTGAGTTCCCCAATAGTTCGGCGATATGGGATTGACGCGATGGCGTCCGCTTCCTCGGTCGTTGGAGGACGCGTAGCCTTCTGTAAGGTTACTCCAGGTGTCATGGGCGTACTGACAGGATTGCACAGTGTCATGCCAGCATTCTCGAGAATCTTCTCAAGATAAGCCTTCTGGCTGATGGTGAGGAGCTTCTTCTCTCGGTCGCACGTAATGTGCATGCCGAGGAAGTGGCGTGCGGGACCGAGATCTGATAAGTCGAAGCATCGTTTTAGCTGCGCCTTGAACTTGTCCAGGTAATCGTGAGAGTTCGACGCTGCGAGCATGTCGTCGACGTAAACGACTAGCCATACGACATTGTCCTCCTCGTGGAGGACGTACAGACTGTGGTCAGCTTCGCTCCTTACGAATCTGAATCCCTCCTTCCGTAGGTACTCATCCAAAGTCTGGTTCCACTCATACCCCGCCTGCTTTAACCCATAAAGCGCTTTCTCCAGCTTCCATACCCAGTCCGGATGCTCCGGGTCTTCGAAACCAGCTGGTTGCTTGAGGTAGATGTCCTCTTTGAGGTCAGCATTGAGGAAGGCGGTACGTACATCCATCTGATCCAGTTCAAGGTCGAACTTTGCTGCAAGGGCGAGGAGAATACGGACCGTATCGTACTTGGCGACGGCCGCGAACGTCTCTGTATAGTCGATCCCTTTGACTTGCGTGTATCCCTGCGCGACGAGGCGTGCCTTGTGACAGGTGATGTTGCCTTCTTCGTCAGTCTTTACCGTGAATACCCATCTTGAACCAATCGCTTTGCATCCTTCTGGGAGTGGCGTGAGTTTGTGTGTCTTGAGGTCCTGCATTGATTTCAGCTCGGATTTGCAGGTGTCTGACCATTGAGGCCACTCGGGCAGCAACCGAGCTTTGTTGATAGATTCGGGTATGACTATGTTTGGGCGTTTGGGAGGTTCGGTGGCCGTGTGCATCGCGGATTCGGTATTGTTGCTGTCGTGCTGACTGGCTGTGGGTTCTGGTACGTATGTCCAGCGTTCGGCGACGGGAACTCGTCGTGCTGGTATGGCTGTTGTGCTGGTGCCAGAGGGTGCAATATAGCCAGCTTGTGCCGGTTGGCGCGAGCGAGTGCTGCGACGAGGTGGAATATCCGATGGAGGTGCAGGAGGAGGAGGTTGCTGTCCGGTTGTGTTGCCATTATCATCAGAAGGTGGGTCATCATTCTCTCCCACTGACACCTGCATGCAGTCAGCAGGGGTCGACAGAGGTGGCTCACCAGCCTGTTCTCCCACTGATTGAGAGACACCTCCCACCGATGAAGTGACACCAGCGAGATCCGGCGAGTTGCGAAGGAGAAGAGCAAGGGGTGAGGAAGCAGGGTCCCCATAGAACACATGTTCGTCGAAGTGGACGTGACGGGAGCGCACAACGTGTTTGGCAGAGGGGTCCCAGAGAATGTAACCTGCATTCCGGACATGGCCAAGGAGGAAGCAGCGACAAGAGACGAAGTCGTACTTGTGGCGGGTGTCCTCTGGTATATGCGCATAGGCAAGGCAACCGAAAGGACGAAGGTAACCGACATCCGGTTTCCGACCATAGAACAGTTCAAATGGCGTGCGACCAGCGAGGGAGGAGGAAGGGAGCATGTTCTTGATGTGGGCTGAGTTCAGAATCGCCCAGCCCCAGAACGAACACGGGAAACCACTCAAGTGGTGCGCACTTAGTGCACGAGTGACAACAGTTTGGTGCCCGCGTTCTGCGACACCGTTTTGTTGGGGAGTATAGGGCATGGTAGTTTCGTGCTCGATATCATGGTCCTTAAGGTAAGTCAGAAACTCCCGCGATATGTACTCACCTCCATTGTCACTGCGACGTTGCTTGACACGCCCCCCAGACTGTGTTTCTATCCAGGGTAGAAAGTGACGGAAATGACTAAAGACTTCTGACTTAGCACACATTAGATAGACCACTGAGTACCTCGTGTAGTCGTCGGTGAATACCACGAAGTAGTGGTCACCGGTAGAGGCTGTGACGTTGACTGGGCCCCAGACGTCAGAGTGGATGAGGTCAGCTGTAGCTTCAGCGCGGCGTGCAACGGCAGGGAAGGGAAGCCGTTTATGCTTTCCCATGATGCAGGACACACAATGTATCGTGTCGGCACCGTCGATGTCGTGATGCAGCATGTCCTGATCGATGTTCATCCCATTGACGTGCCCCGTGGCCTTCATAATGGTGGAAAAACCAGCGTGCCCAAGGCGACGATGCCATGTATTGAGAGACGGAAGTCGAGTCTTTGTGAGCATTGCACGTGCAGGAGTGAAGTCAGCCATATGGTACATCGCATCTAGCAAGTATAGTCCGCTTTTCTGGTGCACGTGGGCGATACACTGCCCATTGCCGTTGTTAGAGCGTAGTGTTCCTCCTTCAGAAGTCGTCATGAAGGATATACAAGCTGAGGCGAAGGTGGAGACTGAAATGAGCATGCAACGCAGGTCAGGGACATGTAGGAACTCGAGCTCGTGTTCCGTCAACGGATCACCAAACCGGAGAACTAGTCTCACTTTACCCCATCCTGAGGCTAACACCACATGCTCATCAGCTAACGTCACACAGATAGGTTCACGCAGTTTCGTATAGTGAGAAAAGCGTGATATTTCGGGCTCCATATGGGCCGTTGAGGCAGAGTCTACGTGGAAGGATCCAGCCGGTAAAGTAAGGGCTGATGAGATACTGGCTGAGTGGTCCTTCAGCGTAAGGACGAAGGGAGGTGGTATGATAGTGTCAGTTGGGTCTGGCAGGGAGGACACCGTGTTAGCGGTGGTATCGGCAGGTGAGGGAGGACGAGGTGCTGACTTTGGAGCCTTCTCGTCCTTGGAGAGCCGTGCACGGCACTGCACCCAGACATGTCCGGCCTTTTGACAGTGGCCACATTTAGGTCGCCAACCCATTATCCAACCATCCCCTTTCGCCTCGTCAAATCCCTTCGGCGGGACACGCTCACCAACCTTGGGGTTGGAGGGATTTCCCCCTCGGTGCCCAGAGAGCATGGCCACATGGTCACTGCCACCAGTCCCAGCATGGTGTAACTCCTGAGTCTTCAGGCGGTTCACAATGTCGCCAAAGTCTAGCGAAGTGTCGCTGTTGACGAGAGTTTGACGAAGTGGGTCGTAGTAGTCAGGTAGGGTGCGCAGTAGGACATGCATGAAGATCGCGTCCGGGACTTTGTATTCGTCCTTTGCTGCAGGTGTAGCGATACTGGAGCCTGAGGTTGGGGGTGCGACTGTGGCGACAGAGAGAGCTGCAAGGTCTGACTTCAGCACGGTGAGGGTCTGCATGGTTTGGGCGATGGAGGTACTGTCGTGCGCCTTGGGAATGGTGAACAAGCGGTCCAGATACTGGTTAAAGCGAATAGCCTTTTGGGGAAGATATTTCTTCTCTAGAGCAACCCACGCCACGTGCGGATCGTCAATGTCGCGGAGATGGACGAAGTCCTGCGCATCAATTGCTGTGGACATGGCGCTGAGAGCAAGGAGCCGACGTTGCTTGTAGACTCGTACTTGCTCGTTGTGTTTCTCTGCGCAAATGATGTTTTGATCGACATCCGTGAGTGTGGCTGGAATGGGGGGTTCCTTCTCATCGCCGTTGACATATGGCCATAGTCCAATGCCGCCGGACCACATCTTAAAGCCAGTGGCCCATTGAGAGTAGTTGGATCCGTCAAGGGTGAGCTTCTCATGCGGGTACCGTTCAGTTTTGGGAAGGGAGTCAGAAGACGACATGGTCGTGTCAGAGCCGAATAATTATTGGCGAGAGTGAGAGATTTTTCAGGAGATGTTGCTACCTTTTAGGCAGGGCTCATAACCTATTAGAGAGTGAGAGCTAAGGTAGCGTGAGTCTCAGTCACAGGCCATACTGTGAGAATGATACATTATATAGCTAGTGATGCCAGTGTAAGGGTGATACATGAATCACTGTACTGCCAAGGATGACTAGCAGCTGTAGTGGTGATGTATCAGTAATGTATCAGTGGAGGATCCTACCTAGCAGCTGCCGGTCCAGGTTCTTGGCTTCCATCAAGCTTAGTCACGCTTGTACTTTACTTCTTTCGCTTCTGATATTAGCTACTTGGGTATATTTGGTGTGACTCTATTTTTATCCTACTTCCTACGCATCCATTATTTGTCAGCAGCCTATAAAGCTTAGTCACGCTTGTACTTTTCGCTTCTGATATTAGCTACCTGGGTATATTTGGTGTAACTCTATTTTTATCCTACTTCCTACGCATCCTTTATTTGTCAGCAGCCTAGATCACCCATACACCTGGTATTTTAAGCGTGGGATCTAGGTACTGAGATACTTAATTTATCAGCCAAGCCCGAGGCCGAACATTGCAGAAATTTGGCCAAGTCCAGTTGAGGTCAAACACCGCATAGGCTATGAACTTTGGTCTTTCGGTCCTTATGGTGTAGCATTACAAGTATCACACAGTAGTACAGGAATTTCCGTTCACGCAGCCAACAATCAATTTGAGCAGTGTCATTCAAAACAGTATTATTCTGACATGCATGCAGCACACTAACAACAAAATCACGCTATTATGAACAACTATAGCTATGTACCAATGGCATTGGCAGTGGCCGCGCGAGACAACTGAAAACGCTGTCGTTTGCCCCGCCCTCCCTCGACATGATGCTGAGAGTTCTCGGTGGAAACAACCACTGCGCCCCCCTTCTGACGCTTCACTGCAGCCATCTCCAAATTCTCCGCGTTGCTCTCGGTGGGTTTACGTTTAGAAGCCTTTTTTGTGACTAGCAATGTGCCACCACTGGCAGCAGGCGCGGCCAAAATCGGTCCCACGGTGAGAGATTCAGATTCAGGCATGACGACAGACGGTTGAGTAGAATTAGGCAGCTCTACTGCAGTAGGAGTGTGGGCAGGAGCAGGAATTTCCGTGGGAGTAGGAGTATTGTTGTGTGGAGGAGAGGTGCAATGTTGGTTATGAGCAGTAGGAGTGTGGGCAGGAGCAGGAATTTCCGCGGGAGTAGGAGTATTGTTGTATAGAGGAGAGGTGCGATGTTGGTTATGAGCAGTGTTTGCGAGAGTTGACGATAAGTGGCGAAGACGAGGAGGAGACATGAAGGTCTGCAAGGTCGTGTCGTCGTAGGGATCCTCAAAACGAAATTCTCCGGCATCACTGAATGAGACGTTATGACCAGTTTGCGAGGTGGAAGTTAAGGGAGAGAGCTGCAAAGAAGGAAGACAATCTGTTTGAGAGGAGGGGGATGAAGACAGTACCAGAGAAGATGGAGGTAGCGGAGATGGCGGTTTGTAGTTGGGTGGCATGGGTAGAATTGTGTTGTTGAAGTCCAGATCAACACTGTCGTCTTGAGGATCGGGGGGAGAGTATCGAAAGAAGTTGTAGACGGGCTGTGGTGTATGAGTGAGTGATGTATCAGGACCGGAAGTTTCCTGCCCCAAAAGTGCGCTGGATAGTCCAGCCAGTGATGTATCAGCTTCCTGCCCCAAAAGTGCGCCGGATAGTCCAGACAACGACGGCAATGGGTCCAACAGCGTAAGTGATGCATCAGGTGATGCAAAAGGGACCATAGCGGGTGATGTATCACTTGTGGTATCCATAGACGACGGCAATGGGTCCAATAGTGTAAGTGATGTATCAGGTGATGTGGAAGGGACCATAGCAGGTGATGTATCACTTGAGGTATCATCCTGAGGGAGTGTCACATATTACAGTGACCTATTTCCGTATAATACGAGGGAACGGACGTGCATAATATCCCGTATAATACGGGCCAGCGGACCATGGGCCCATGATCAAAATATCCTCGACTATGACGGATGGGCCGGGAGGCAAATTATTCCCGATGGAGGCGGGTGGGCCCATGCAGGGGATATATAGAGTAGATGAGTGGGCCGATGTACATGAATATTAGGTAGACAGGTGGGCCGAGGTAGTTGGATATTATGCAGATGAGTGTATTAAGGTAGATGTGTATGAGATAGATGGGTAGGTACTTGTTATCACATTCACGGGTGGGCCCAGACATATATTAAATTAGATGGGTGGGCCGAGGGTATTATACAATATTGTATTATACGGGTGGGCCCAGACGCATATTAATTAGACCGGTGGGCCGAGGGTGTTGTATGGGATGTTGTATTAGACAGGTGGGCCGAGGGTGGTATAAAATATAGATGGGTGGGCCCATGTGTATCATAATTGTAAACACGATGGAGCTGAGGTAGTTGTACATCAACCAAATCAGAGGAGGTAATAAAATCAAAGTGACCAAGTTCCTGGAGCAGCAGGTGATCTCCTGACATGGCCTTTGATGGTGCACAGGTTGTCTTGCAAAATTTGGAATCCGGGGTGCGAAGCTTGTGTTACCCTATGAGAAGCCAAGTTCCGATTACCAACCTTTGGGTCAACCGTACTCAGAGGAGGTAATAAATCAAAGTTCCTGAGTTCCCGGAGCAGCAGGTGATCTCCTGACATGGCCTTTGATGGTGCACAGGTTGTCTTGCAGAATTTGGAATCCAGGGTGTGAAGCTTGTGTTGCCCTATGAGATGCCAAGTTCCGACCACCCAAATTTGGGTCAACCGTCCCGGGAGTCGACAAATGAATATCTGATAACCAGCATACTTCCAATCAGGTAGTATTTCATTGAGCAATGAATCATCCAAGGGGTCTCTTATCAGACTCGGTAGTCAATATAGGCAAATGATAATGAAAACATGAAAGTTGTTATTATGCTATTTTTCAAACCCGAGACCCTGAAACCCATTGTTCAACATGTCCATTTTTCACTCACTGCACAAATCACCAAGTTTCGAGTGCCAAAGCGTGAAACTTGAAACCCAGTGTGCAACATGTCCATTTTTCATGTACATTACACAATTCATTGAGTTCCGAGTGCCAAGTGCCGAAACCCGAACCCCGAGACCCGAAAATATGTATGCAACATTTCCATTTTTCACTTGTTGCACAAATCACCGAGTTTTGAGTGCCAAAGCGTGAAACTTGAAACCCAGTGTGCAACATGTTGATTTTTCATTTATATAACCCAAATCATAGAGTTACGAGTGCCGAGGGCCGAGGGCCGAACCCCGAGACCCGAAAATATGTACACAACATGTCCATTTTTTACTCACTGCACAAATCACTGAGTTTCAAGTGCCAAAGCGTGAAACTGGAAAGCCAGTGTGTGACATGTTGATTTTTCATTTATATCACACAAATAACCAAGTGCCAAGTGCCAAGTGCCGAAACCCGAAGCCCGAGACCCGAAAATATGTATGCAACATTTCCATTTTTTACTTGTTGCACAAATCACTGAGTTTCAAGTGCCGAAACCCAAAACTCAAAACCCGGCATGCAACATGTCCATTGTTCAATTATATTACACAAGTCATTGAGTTCCGAGCTCCGAGGGCCGAAACCCGAACCCCGAGACCCGAAAATATGTACACAACATGTCCATTTTTCACTCATTGCACAAATCACTGAGTTTTAAAGTGCTGAAACCCGAAACTCGAAACCCGGCATGCAACATGTTGATTTTTCATTTACGTCACACAAATCATTGAGTTCCGAGGTCCGAGGTCCGAGACCCGAACCCCGAACCCCAAAAATATGTGCACAACATGTCCATTTTTTACTTGTTGCACAAATCACTGAGTTTCAAGTGCCGAAACCCAAAACTCAAAACCCGGCATGCAACATGTCCATTGTTCAATTATATTACACAAGTCATTGAGTTCCGAGCTCCGAGGGCCGAAACCCGAACCCCGAACCCCGAAAATATGTACACAACATGTCCATTTTTCACTCATTGCACAAATCACTGAGTTTTGAGTGCTGAAACCCGAAACTTGAAACCTGGCATGCAACATGTTGATTTTTCATTTACATTACACAAATCATCGAGTTCCAAGTGCCAAGGGCCGAGACCCGAAGCCCAAGACCCGAAAATATGTATGCAACATTTCCATTTTTCACTTGTTGCACAAATCACCGAGTTTCAAGTGCTGAAACCTGAAACTCAAAACCGGGTGTGCAACATGTCCACTGTTCAATTATATTACACAAGTCATTAAGTTCCGAGTTCCGAGGGCCGAAACCCGAACCCCGAACCCCAAAAATATGTGCACAACATGTCCATTTTTTACTTGTTGCACAAATCACTGAGTTTCAAGTGCCGAAACCCAAAACTCAAAACCCGGCATGCAACATGTTGATTTTTCATTTACATTACTCAAATCATCGAGTTCTGAGTGCCGAGGGCCGAGACCCAAAGCCCGAAACCCAACATCATGTACACAACATGTCCATTTTTCACTCATTTCACAAATCACCAAGTGTCGAGTGTCAAAACCTGAAACCCGGTACTTCAAATGGACACAAATTGTATTTGTATGTATTATCCATTGGTGTAGGGCTCAAATAACCTGGGAATTGTATTTGTCAGTACTCGGTACTTGGGACTTGGGACTTGGGACTTGGGACTTGGGACTTGGGACTTGGGACTTGGGACTTGGGACTTGGCACTCAGTGATCGGTGGTCAGTGGTTGGTACTTGGGACTCGGTACTCGGTACTCGGTTCTCGGGACTCGGTACTCGGGACTTGGGACTCGAGACTCGGGACTCGAGACTTGAGACTCGGGACTCGGGACTCGGGACTCGGGACTCGGGACTCGGGACTCGGGACTCGGGACTCGGGACTCGGGACTCGGGACTCGGGACTCGGGACTCGGGACTCGGGACTCGGGACTCGGGACTCGGGACTCGGGACTCGGGACTCGGGACTCGGGACTCGGGACTCGGGACTCGGGACTCGGGACTTGGGACTCGGTACTTGGTACTCGGTCCTCGGCACTCGGTGATTGGTGGTCAGTGGTTGGTACTCAAGACTCGGTAGTTTCTCCCTGATACCCACCAAAAAACCCACACCCACAAGGTGGGTGTGGGTATATCATGGGGTATGGGTGGGGGTAGTGCTACTCATACCCCGGGGTTCACCCACACTATTCCCTATCAGTACTCGGTACTCGGCACTCGGTGATTGGTGGTCAGTGGTTGGTACTCGAGACTCGGTAGTCAATATAGGCAAATGATAATGAAAAATGACAGTTGTAGTCCATGTCAAGGTGAGTGATTTGGTAGTCTTTCCTTGTCATTCAGCAAAACATCAGCAATAATGAAAAAATGAAAGTTGTTATTATGCTTAACTTCCTTACCAAAGGTTGTAGTCCAAGTCCAGGTGAGTGTAGTGGTAGTCTTTTCTTGTCAATTGGTTATCTTGTTACTCATTACGCAGTACTTGGTACATGGTAATTGGTACTCAGTATTTGGTTTTGATACTCGGTATCTGGGAATCAGTAGTCAGCTTAATCAAGGTTGTAGTCCGAGTCTAGGTGAGTTTATTTGTAGTCTTTTCTCGTCCATTGGTTACCATGTGACCAAGATATAAGCTAAAGAAATCCAAAACATCAATAATGACAAATGAAATACATGTGTGCAGTAAGTGAGTCTAAAGATAAAGAATGAATATTAATAGCGAGACTTGCACATTATGTCGAGATATCCAACATGACAAGCCTGTGATGTGATCAGAGACCTGGAATAACACCCATATACATCCATTATAATAGCTTAAAAGCTTAGAAATATTCATGAAGGATTGATGTAATGATAGGCAAAATGATGTGTGGAGAGTGACAGTAGACATCTTTTATACAAAGTCACATTTATATATGATTCAGGCCAAAAATATCATTACAAATATGTAGGATAGATTGTAAACTACCCAAGGAACCCATACTGCCTACTGCCCTGAGGGTAGGGGGTGGGTAGAAGGGATATAGTGAAAATATGAGTTGACCCAGCATTAAAGTCCTACCACTGCTCAACTAACCATTTTCGATGCTTTGGGTCTTTGAAGTTTCCCACACTCAATTTCTTACCCATTTCACTTCCTCAGTACTCAATTCTTGGTTGATTTGTCTGTAAATTTATGTCTATGATACTTAAGATATTTGAAATGTACCCCAGGTTTCTGATTATGAAGATTCAATGTTTTGAAGGCATGGGCCCCTTATCAGGCAAAATGGCAAGTATGCACACTAGCTCACAAACTACAGCCTATTGTGAGCTGATCTTGGTCATAAGAAGCAAGAATATAAGCTATGCTCATTATATATTAAAAGGTTGGATCATGGATGCAAGGGCAAGATACTGAAAATTGTGAAAAAATGTCACAAGTGCAATTGTCTATGCTTTGTTCCTGGAGAAGGATCCTGTGTGTCCTGGGCTGGTTATATGATATATCTACTCCGAATATGCTCAGGAATAGACTCCCTACAGTCCTTGAGGTCCAGCTTTACAGGGAAAAACCCCCAGCGGGTGAACCACCAGAAGAGGGGGAGGTACACTATACAATAAAGGATTACCCTATGGTCCTGAGCTCCTGATACATTGTTTCTATTGTTGAATAGATGATTGAGATATAATTCCAAAGTCTGTTCACCTAGAAATGAACACATAGGAACATATTTTGTATTATTATGTATATATGCAATATCCATTTAAGCACCAAGTCTCAACTACCGATTACCAAGTCCCGACACTTGATAGTTGATAGTCAGTATTTGAGCTCCGAGTGCCAATATTGCCTACCAATATCTCAGTCAAATGATAACCAAACCAAGACCCAAGTTCCAAACCTGACTACCGAATACCAAATATCAGTACTCGGGACTCGGGACTATTGGCTGGAGTACCCAACTATTGATTCCCAGGTACCGAGAATTAGAACCAAGTACCAAGTACCTGACTACTGATTCTCGGGTACCAAGTATCAGAACCAAGTACCAAGTACCTGACTACTGATTTGAAGTACCGGGTTTCGGGTTTCGGCACTCGACACTTGGTGATTTGTGCAATGAGTAGATGGGCATGTGGCATACATGTTTTTGGGCTTCGGGTTTTAGGATTCTGCCCTTGGCACTCAATGATCTGTGTAATGTAAATGAACAATGAACATGTTGCACACCGGGTTTCGAGTTTCGGGTTTCAGCACTTGAAACTCGGTGATTTGTGCAACAAGTGAAAAATGGAAATGTTGCATACATATTTTCAGGTCTCGGGGTTCGGGTTTCGGCCCTCGGCACTCAGAACTCAATGAATTGTGTAATGTACATGAAAAATGGACATGTTGCACACTGGGTTTCAAGTTTCACGCTTTGGCACTCGAAACTCGATGATTTGTGCAGTGAGTGAAAAATGGACATGTTGTGTACATATTTTCAGGTCTCAGGCTTTGGGTCTCAGCCCTCGGCACTCGGAACTCTTTCAAGTTTCACGCTTTGGCAGAACTCGAAGTTGTTGATTTAGATATCACCCAAAACCTGAACACCCGAATGTCAAATTTTCGATGCCGAACCCCTAACCCTGACTGCCGGGTGCTGAGTCCCGAAGTCCGGAACTCAGGATTTGACATTTGAGATGAACGAAATTTTTCAGACATGTTTGAATTAATCTACGTATATCTATAAACATTTCACTAACCCCTGAACCCTGAAAGATATTTTTGTTGTCTTACATACCAAATTCCGAGTTCCGAGTTCCGGGACCCCGGACCCCCGAAACCCGGCAGTCCACAATTTCGGAGTTCGGGGGTTGGTAAAATGTGTATGGATATATGAAGGGTTGGTTTAAACATTTTAAAAGATGTCTCATATCAAATGTCAAGTCCCAAGTTTTGATTTCCGGGTTTCAAGAGTGCTGAGTCCCGAAGCCCGGAGTCCCGAAACCCGGAGTCCTGAAACCTGGAAATCAAAACTCGGGACTTGACATTTGATATGAGACATCTTTCAGAAATGTTTCAATCAACCTTTCATATATCCATGCACATTTTACCAACCCCTGAACCCCGAAATTGTGGACTGCCAGGTCTCGGGGTTCGGGGGTCCCGGAACTCGGAACTCGGGAATTTTGGGGAGATCAATAAAATTTGATTTACCCATGTTTAAAATATATTTTTGTTCTACATACCGAGTTCCGAGTTCCGGACCCCCGAACCCCGAGACCCGGCAGTCTCGGGGTTCGGGGTTCGGGGGTCCCGGCACTCGGAACTTGGGGAGATTTGGGGAGATCAATAAAATTTGATTTACAATTGAGTTGATTGGCAAACACATTGACTTACCCATGTTTGAAATATATTTTTGTTTACACATACTGAGTTCCGAGTTCCGGGTTCCGGACCTCCGAACCCTGAAACCCGAGACCCGGCAGTCCACAATTCTGGGGTTCGGGGGTTGGTAAAATGTGTATGAATATATGAAAGGTTGAATGAAACATTTTTGAAAGATGTCTCATATCAAATGTCAAATCCCGAGTTTCAACTTCTGGATTTCGGGAGTGCCGAGTCCCGAAACCTGGAGTCTTGAAACCCGAAATTCGAAACTCGGGACTTAACATTTGATATGAGACATCTTTCAAAAATGTTTCATTCAACCTTTCATATATTCATACACATTTTGCCAACCCCTGAACCCCAGAATTGTGGACTGCTGGGTCTCGGGTTTTGGGGTTGGGGGGTCCAGAACTCAGAACTCAGTATGTGTAAACAAAAATATATTTCAAACATGGGTAAGTCAATGTGTTTGTCAATCAACTCAATTGTGAATCAAATTGTATTGATCTCCCCAAACTTTCCCAAGTTCCGAGTTCCGGACACCTGATACCCGAGACTCAAATTGTATTGATCTCCCCAAATTTTCCCAAGTTCCAAGTTCCGGACACCCGACACCCGACACCCGGCAGTCTCGGGTATCGGGTGTCCGGAACTCGGAACTCGGGGGAAATTTGGGGAGATCAATACAATTTAATTTACAATCGAGTTAATTGACAACACATTGACTTAATCATGTTTGCAATATATTTTTGTTTAGACATACCGAGTTCCGAGTTCCGGACACCCGATACCCGAGACCCGAGACTGCCGGGTTTCGGGTGTCGGGTGTCCGGAACTCGGAACTTGGGAAAGTTTGGGGAGATCAATACAATTTGATTCACAATCAAGTTGATTGACAAACACATTGACTTAACTATGTTTGCAATATATTTTTGTTTAGACATACCGAGTTCCGGACACCCGATACCCGAGACCCGGCAGTCTCAGGTTTCGGGGTCCGGGGGTCCGGAACTCGGAACTCGGTATGTCTAAACAAAAATATATTGCAAACATAGTTAAGTCAATGTGTTTGTCAATCAACTTGATTGTGAATCAAATTGTATTGATCTCCCCAAACTTTCCCAAGTTCCGAGTTCCGGACACTCGACACCCGAAACCCGGCAGTCTCGGGTGTCCGGAACTCGGAACTCGGTATGTCTAAACAAAAATATATTGCAAACATGGGTAAGTCAATGTGTTGTCAATCAACTCGATTGTAAATTAAATTGTATTGATCTCCCCAAATTCTCCCAAGTTCCGAGTTCCGGACACCCGATACCTGAGACCCGGCAGTCTCGGGTTTCGGGTTTCAGGGGTTGGTACATCTCGGTTTGGGGTTTGGCACTGAAAATTTGACATATATATTTTTGTCAGTGTTGTGCTTCTGGTGTCCATGCTTAGAAATAGGATTTGTTGCACACCAGGGTTCAGGTGTGGGGTTTTTCCACTTCAGTCCTGGATTATTGGTCAATGCCACACATGATCGATTCATGTTTTTGTGCTTAGGGGTTTAGATTTGGTGGTTGATGGTAGGTATATGCACTGATAGTGTACATGTATCCTATGTGTTTGATTCGCTGGTGGCTACATCAGCTGTATGTCTTGATGGAACATATCTAGGCTCACCCATATATGTAATACACCCCCGTCGGCCCACCCATCTATGTATTATCCCCCACATCGGCCGACCCATCTATGTAATACATCCTATGTTGGCCCACCCGTCTATATAATACATCCTGCATTGGCCCACCCGTCTATATAATTATACCCCACCTCGGCCCACCTGTCTATGTAATAAATATTTTATAGCACCCTCAGCCCACCGGTCTATTTGATATCCCTTTCGTCAGCCCACCCGTATATGTAATGCATTCCACGTCGGCCCACCTGTATATGTAATACACCCTACATCAGCCCACCCGTCTATGTAATATTTCCCTACCTCGGCCCACCCATATATGTAATACACCCACGTCGGCCCGCCCGTCTATATAACAATATTTGCCTTACATCTCTCTTCAGCCCAGCTGTCTATAATATCCTACTCTACATATTACCCAGATGGGCCCACCCATCTCCATGAATGATCATATTCCCCCGGCCCATCCGTCAACATTAAGGATATATATATCATTGGCATACATGGGCCCACCCGTCTCCATCAGAAATAATATGTGTCCCGGCCCATCCGTCATCATCGAGAATATACACAACATGGGCCCATGATCAGCTGGCCCGTCTCATACGGGATATTATGGAGGTCGGGTGGCCCGTATAATACGGAATTTGTCACTGAAGGGGCTCGGAGTGTAGTTCCTTTCGATAACAATACTGCAGCACTAGCTAGAACTTGATGAGCTTAGAAAGAGACACCAACAATTTGACGACTCACGAAATGCTCGCGATGCAAATTCAAAATACGGCACCATAATGTTCTCCTCAAACTTTGGAAATGCATGATTGAACCGATTGCCGGCAGTAGTGGTCCCGATATGCAAGCTACTAACGTTGAGTTTGCCACCATTCATAGGGTCAGGGCCAGCAAGTAAAACACTGAACGACCATCCTGTCGCATCGTGCAACTCGGTGAAAAATGTTGACATGATTTCTGTAAGTCTTGATATGATTCTGCCTGCAATAAGCAACGATGAAGCGAGATGTTCGGTGTCACTTACGTCTCCTTTGACAGCTCCTTGTCACGTTTCCCGTCTTTCACCCTCTCTTCCTTCATCTGTTCAGCCAATTTGGCGACTTCCTCCTTCACCTCCGCGCTTTCATTTTCCCAGTAAGATGCTATTTGTTTGCGCACAACCTGCATAGCTCACTTCTTCGGTTCAGGTGCATCTGGTGCGTCCTTCATGGCATCAAGTTCCTCCTTCACTGCAGGCTGTACGCGCGACGCATAATATTTCTTGGCGTAAACCTCGGTCGCATTGAGAGGACGTGATTTCTTCTTGCCTGACTTGATAGCAATGTCACCAATCAGTTTGCTAACAACGGTGTTCCCAGCGGCGTTTGCTCGGCGACCAGCTTTCGAATTACCAAAGTCATTCCATAGCTTGACGGTTAAACACTAGTTTCGTACATGATCAACCCAGTATTCGAATACACTGATTAGGAAAATAATAATACCGTCTGAAGCGCATCTCTTGCCTTAGCTATCTCCTCGAGCTTCATCTCCTCATTTACGGGCTCCTCTTCAAGAATAATTGGCCATTTTTCTTCCCATTTCTCAAAGAAGGGAGGCCAGAAATTGGTATAGTTCCCGTTCTTTTTGCATTCGAGGAAACTCTCATGGTAGGTGAGCACAAAGGCCTGCTGCTCCCCCAAAAGCCAACTACATGGTGCCATCTATGATCTATCTGAGTTGTCGTGTCGCGTTTTTGCTGAGTTGGCGCTTCGTGTGGGATGCTCGAGATCAAAGTTGGACGCAAAATGAAAGGTATCAGGCAGACGACGCGTAGTTGCACCAGCCACAGACGCGTGTACTCACAAATCATTAGTCAGTTGTCCTTCTATGTTGTTCTTGGGCGAATCACTGTCAATAATGTCAAGGGTTAGGGTCTAGTATCTTGGAATTTCCAATGGATGCAGCGCGTACACCATGTTCGAGGCACATACATTATTCAGACATCGTAACACAGAGATATTTAGCAAAAGTCAGATATTGATTGTCATGATGAGAATAAAAAGTATTGTAAAGCGCTGCAATGTAAGGAACCTGCTGCACGCAACGAGGCAAAGTCCAATTTGAAAATGAGAAGCGGTCGCTGAGTCCAAAGTGATGGAGCTTCTTCCTTGATGTGAAGAAAGCCTAGAACCGTCCACTTCGGCCCATTTATTCTTGTGGCTGATTTGAAGGTAAGTACAATCTTGCTATGGACTGGGGGCGTAGTGTGAGGCCAGGCTGCCGAGCTTACTGGAAGTATCCACGCCACAGTTCTAAACCTCCACCTAGGGTATGTATCCTTAGTAAAAAACGCACGCGTGTTGTTCGGATATTTCCTTCGGAAAACAGTGAGCATCGCTAACCGAATACCGATAAAAGCGAAATGCACAGATTTGGTGCCTGGCGGATGATCAGCTGCAAGACGTTAATCGCTGTTAGAACCTGAGGAGTCTGCTTGGTCTGTTTACCTGGCGAATGATCAGCTGCAAGATGTTAATCGCTGTTAGAACCTGAGGAGTCTGCTTGGTCTGTTTGCCGTGATGAATGCTTGCAAACCGTGGAATGTGGAGGCTGGGATCAAGCAGTAAGGGTAAGCAGCAAGGGTAGTGATATGCGAGAAATGCTATACTATGGTATATCTAAGGAATAGCAACTGTCATATTGTCTTGAGCGATTTGATGCTTCAGTCCGCATTGTCCATGTACCTCAATCAAATGGCCGACCCCCACTATGGCATGAGTGAGTACATCATCCACAGCTGTGAGAACCCTACAGACTCGAAATACAGAATCCTGTGTACGACTGAGGTCGCAACCCATCCCACGCTTCTCAATAACATTGTCTACCACAGATTGTACATGTTGATGAAGGTTTTCTAAGATGCCAATAGTGGTCCACATAACGTCCAATGAATCAGGATCGTTCGGGTGAGAAACGAAGTACTTGCAAAGGCCCTCAACAAAATTTGCTGTGCTCGAAGACCCAGTGACAGCCTGCAAGCGTGCATCAATATCAGCACACTGTGTGGTCCTTGAATTGAATGATTAAGGTAAATGGAATGCTCCTGAAATGAATATCGAATAACATACCAACATTTCGATCGAGATTTTTCCTGTTTTTTAGCACGTAGCTCATCACGGTGACTAAATGGAAACGACTGGTCACCGACCATCTCACCAGTGAGTCGTCACAACATACCATTCATAATACACCTGTCTATACCTACATCTCGCTTCACGTTTCTTGTCAGGGACAGGCATTGATGGAACACTGCGCAGATTGTATTGAGTGCAGTTCGGATCAGGTATGTGTCTCTCACCTATCTCGTTTTGCCTTGGTTGTCTTTGTTTCGGGGGCGAGTAATTTGTTGCGCTGACTGAAAAACATCATTTGTTCAACTGTCACTAAGACCGCTGACCATTGAAACATACCGTGCATTGTAAGCACGCCGATAAGTGCGTGCGGCCTCTAATTTCTCTTCTGGGGTGTTGTATAGTCGTGGTTTTGCCATAGTATTAGTATAGTTTCAAACTGAGTGGCTTGGTATTAGCTTAGTGTCAGTTCAGTATTTGCGCATGAGTTTCAAACACTTTCGAGGTAGGAAATAAATTGGGAGATTTACGCATTCAATTCAATATCTGTCTAGTTCAAACTCGAAATGAACCAAATATCAGTCATTCGTTTAAGCTACAGTCCCCAAAGATCTCAGGTAATGTCTCACTCAACAACGATGAGGATATTAAACATGTCTATCCTATTGTGCTCTGCTCAATTTTCTCAATGTGTTCCCCTGCTTGCGCAACAAAATAGCTTGATATTGACAACCGAACAATGTGTGTACCAGCTAATACTAAACTACCTGCGCCGCCTTGCCACGTTCTATGGCGCGCCTCACAATCCCAGCACCTTGCTCAACAGATTCTACCTTGTGATATATGGCACGCGAAACACCAAGTACCTTGGGGCCGGTAGCGTCCCTGCGCAAAAACAATCAGTGAACGTAATAAATGAAGCACATTTAGACTTACCACCCTGAGAAGACCCCAATGTAGCGACCTCTCGTGATATAGTAGAGTGGCGCCTTGACTTCAATAGGCACATTGAAGTACTTGCCGTGGTAATACAGGAGGGTAGAGTCCTCAGCGAGAGACGCAGCTGCATTAGCTGCATCCTTGTTGACAGAGGAGTCTTCCTCTTCAGAGTCCAGGAGGACAGTAACGAGGGCAGAAGCAGGCACCGCAATAGTAGTAGGGGAAGGTCCGGAAGGAGCTGCACTGATGGGAGGGGAAGGAATCACGGTGGTAGCCACGGAGCTTTCGGCAGCAGGTGCAGAAACGTCGATGCTGAAAGTGTCCATCACATTAGCAACATGTTCTGGAATAGTGTAGAAGCGGTGTTAGTCATGATAAATCAAAGAAACAGATAGATTCACCTTCAGCAACTGCTTGACCGCCGGTACCAGGCAACAATGCATCAGATATCACCTTCCTGTCATAGAGACTAAGTCCCTGCAGGATGTCTATAAGACTATCCAGTCGAAAGGACACTAAGGTGTCCGTCTGACTGGAAGGGGCTGGGATTTGAGTCATCACAACTGTAGGCTGGATATTGAGCAGGGGAGTATGCGACAATGAATAATACATCACTCACCAAGACAGTTATTTATGCAGCCAAGGTGCGGTCGTAATTCATGATCCTCAAGAACACATTGTAAGTAAGTCCGTGGACATAAGAGACAGAACGGGAATTGACTTGGACGGAGTGAAGCAAAAACCAGCTGACTAAGCTTGTGCGGATCACCCGGATCACCCAATTCACATTTCCGTCGTTCAGACCAGCTGACTAAGCTTGTGCGGATCACCCGGATCACCCAGTGATTCACCTTTCCATTGTTCGTGCAATGATCATCTGAGTCATGTCTCTATCATTTGGACCTTCGAAAAACTGACTGTTATTTGCCGTTTACTGTTCACAGGTACTAATATTACTACTTCGAGCCTTCAAGTTTGCCCAACGCCCCAATACCAGAACCATTTAGCAGGTTTGATACCCGTTTTATTTTTCTCGCGACGAAGCTTATATCGTGTCTGCCACAACAGATGGTCTGTGATGTTCTACTCCGAGGCCAGTGAGTCCATTTGCTCGTTACTATTACGTGGAGTCTTGGCTTACTGCTCGAAGTATAGAAGTCTGCGCTAACATCGCTGAACGCATGTCGTTGGTGTATAGAGTACTTGCGGGGTATTCTGGCCACAACTTCAGTCGAAGCGGCCATAACACGTCAAATTCGACCATCGTTGATCTGATGAAGCGACGGGTTTCATCAGACTTCGGATCGTATTGCATGTAGCTAGGTATGCGTTCCGCGAGCCATTCCAACTGATCTGAGGTGAATGTAGGCTCACGTGTTGGCCTTCGATAATGTCTGGCTACGAGGTAATGAGCTTGCGCAATCACATTTAGTATGTACATTTTATTATCCACTTGAATCTGACACTATAGGTTGATTTACTTACCTTGGCGTCTACGTATCAGGGTTGCAGCGCTGGTAGGCGCATAAGTCATTCGAGTCAAAGACGACTGCGAGGATTCCATACTGCCTGTGAGCACCGATTAATATTTTTATCTGTGTCTTTGGTTGTACTCATGCAAACGATGGTAGGGCAGCAAGAATCGTTGACAACCATAATGTCAGTGAGTACATTTTATATTCAAAGCCGAAAGAAGCTTACAAATTCTTGATTCTCCCTCCAAGCTTCTTTTTGGCTTTAGAGACTCGAACACTGACCCTGGTTGATGAGTGTTGGTTACAATGTCTCGGGGACGCTCAGCAAAGAGTTCCCGGGTCGAACGAACTCGTTTCATACCCTCCTCCGCCGCTAATTCTCCGCTGTTACGGCTTCGCACAGGAGAAATCACCACTGAGGGTCGCACTCAACTGCACACTCATTATGTTCCTGCACCCTCGCTCCATGTCTTTGACTCTCTAGATACTGGTTCTGATGCAGGTCCGTTTTGTGGAGGCGACTGGGATGAAATTCCACTGGAACAAGGGGGGCTGCAGCAAATGCTTTGTGAACCCTCATCTGACAGACGCAAATGCACTGCTGCAGTAAGTACTGTCGCCTATTATTGTTATTCTAATTGATTGATTATGCCTTAGGATACACCACTCTTAGCGTGGATCCCCAAGCGTCAATTTTTTTTGGATGAAACCCTTCGCCTGGAGGGTCGCGGAACTCCAGAAAGTCTCTGTTGTTGTGGTCTTGCTGCCCCTCGTTTCAGATGTCGCGACTGCTTTGGCACACAGATGTTTTGCCACGAGTGTGTACTTCACAACCACACAAGGAATCCTCTGCACAGGATTGATGTACGTAGATATTTTTATTATTCTATCAAAGACTAACGAGTGCCTATAAGATGTGGAATGATTCATTCTTTCAGCTCACCTCCCTGAAAAAACTGGGTCTACGCGTACAGCTAGGGCATACTCCTGGCGAAAGATGCTACAATCCTCGAACCTCCTCTGGCGATGAATTTATCGTCATCGACGTCCACAGTGTCCACGAGATTGCACTGGATTTTTGTGGGTGTGCGAGTGCTCAAATTCGCTACAAACAGCTACTCCGCGCCCGCTGGTATCCAGCAACCATATCAGACCCTCGCACTGCTGCAACCTTCGCTTTACTGGAACATTTCCACCTGTTGTCATTCGAAAGCAAGGTTTCGGCTTACGAATTTTACCACTCACTAGCAAGACGGAATAATAACGCTGGCCTGTCGGATATAAGGGTATGTATTCAAAAGATGTAATGTCTACGGGATACTGACATGTGATATTAGGATCGCTACTCTGCATTCATGTGTATGGTCCACGAGTGGCGGCATCTGAGGCAGCTTCGGCGTGCAGGGAGGGGACATGACCCTGGTGGCATCAATGCCACTACCACGGGTGAATTAGCTGTGCAATGTCCAGCGTGTCCCCACCCTGGCAAAAATTTACCGCAAGGTTGGGAGGATCAACCGCTATCAGTTAGGTCAGTCCTAAGTCTGAATTGGCGATTACAGTACCGCATTCATGCTGATTGCTTATTTTGAAGGTGGAAATATGCATTGTTCATTGCGATCGACGCAAACTTTAGGCTAAAACGCAAGGCAGTATCATCGGATAACGTAGACCCCAGCCTCAACTCTGGGTGGGCTTATTTTGTCGAAGAGGTTGCCTACAAGTCATACCTGGCCGATCAAGCTGGCGTCAAGCAAGATGTAAGTACATTATACTATTATGGGATGCAACATCTGACTAGTATACAGCGCAGCATGTGTGTCAGTCACAACGCTGTTAATATGGCAGACACGAAGTCCTCGGATGGTCTGGCTGCAACAGGTGTTGGTGCGGTAGACTGTGCCAGGCACGATATGAAGCTTGCCAATGGTGTCGGAGATTTGCAGAAGGGTGAAAAGTGCGTCATGTTTTCATCTTATATCGTATGATTACTAAATGTTTGTCATATTTAGATATATTAACATGGACTATCTTGTGTTCTCAGCATTGTTGGCCTTTACAGTAACCATGGTCAACATCTCGTACAATATTGCCTGCAAATGGCATAAAAAACTCTGGACGCGCATGGAAGGCATGCCATCCCGGTTGCACATCCCTCACGACTCGATGACCGTCTGATTTTTCGTGCCAAAGTTTCATCTGAAGGCACACATCGAAGAATGTCAGAGAAGTTTTTCATTTAACTGGACCAAACATGTTGGACGAACAGACGGGGAAGCTCCTGAGCGAGGGTGGTCAAATATTAACCATGTTGCGACGAGTACAAAGGAGATGGGGCCAGGCTCGCGGTGCGATACTCTTGACGACCATTTTGGGGATTGGAACTGGAAGAAGGTCACAGCATTAGGTGTGTTCTGTTTCTCATTCAATTTTCTTTGCCTCACACAGCAATAGGCCGTACACTGTTGCGCAAGATAGGTGACGCTATCAAGTGGAAGAGGGAGCACAGAGAGGCACTCGGAGAACTAGAGAAGACCATCGAACCGACACTGATCCTTCAGTGGATGAGGGAAGTGGAAGCTTGGGAAAATGATAACTCTCAACGCAATCCGTTTGAGAGCCGTTTTGCTCGTGAGTCATGTTCTTTTGTTCTACAGTTCACAAACTAATTTATGGTAGCCATTACACAGGCTGCCGTACGCCTACAGCTTGCTGAGCTCGAAGCTCGCGAGCTTCAGGCTGGGATCAACGTGTCTCTGCACACCGACATCTCTCCAAGCAGGCTAATCACCAGTGGTATTGATCTACAGGACCAACAGTAAGTTTGCTAATTAGTCTAAGAAAACTATGCTAATCAGAAAACTCGACAGGCAGCGCCTCAAGGTGGACATCGCCAACATGTCTCTTCACCCCACGGACAACCAGAAGACAAATTTACAGACACGTATTACCACCCTTCAACGTCGCATTGATGCCTGGGCCCGTATCCAGGAATTGTACATTCCTGTTGTTTCGCAATTTCGCCATCGATCGTCTGACGCTAGCGTGTCGAATACTGCGGTGCTGAGGCCCAAGACCTTTAAGCTATGGCTTCCATCCGAGCTCGAGCCAACAGCCACATGCGACGAGAGGTTGGCTGCCCATGAATGGGAGTTACGGCATGCACAAGCACTCGATTCTCTCAACGAAATCCGTTCACATCTTCGTCTTTGGTCGCACATGTACATTTACAAGGACAGAAATGTCCGCGGTCAAGCCGCTTCCACTCGCGCACAGGCCCTCATTGATGGTGTCGAGGTGAGGAAACAAGCCAGTGTCGAGAAGTACCGGCGTGCACGTAATGCACTGTTAGCTCTCAGTCATCGACTCGACAAGTCCGGCTGGGAAATTTCCCTTCCACGGCTCTTGGATTCGGATGTCCGGCCTATGGGCGATATGGAGAGACAAGGGACTGGTACCATCTCGTGGATCTGGCTAGATTCGCGCACAGATAACACTAATTCAGAAAATGACCGAGTTCAGGACTGTGAGTCTCCGAGATCGAAGTTGGAGTGATACTAACTCAATGTGATAGGCGTTCGAGTAGAGTGGTGTAAAGCGCGTGCACGCGTAAATCGGTGGTCCGAAGAAGTTGATCTCCTGCTCGAGGAGATGCGAAGAGTCACAGAGTTTTTGAAGTGGCAGGCAGGGTGGTGGGGTGAATGGGTTAATGCTCGTGTGCTGGAGTCAGCTGAACAGGAGGGAGTCGCTGCATATGCCTATCGTCAGGCTGCACTACGCACATCTCTCGTTGCCTCCTTTCAGCACTTGTGGAGAGACGTACCCAAGAGTGTAATCGCTCTGAGCATTCCAATGGACAGCGAGGATGTCCCACCTACTATTGATGCACGGCCCCGGTTGCACGATGATCTGTAGTCAGTAATACATTAGCTTGTTGATATGTCATTCATTTCATGTTTTCAATATCACGCTCGGATCAGAAGTTTGAGGTTCGCAAGGCACCAAGATCTGTCATGAGATTGAGAAACAGTTCCATGCTTAGTAACATAGTATAGAAGATCGAGAAACAGTTCTATGCTTAGTAACATAGTATAGATGGGACGGACTCGGACTGTAAAGCCAAGTAGTATGATGTATCACCAGGTCCTACAGCTCAGAGTCATTTGTGTATCACACATTTACTACAGTATGAGTAAGTGATACATCATTCTCCCAGCTACTGGTGTCAGTCAATGGAAGAAAGACTCTGTTCGTGTAAACTAACCTAAGGTAGTGCGAGTCTGTAGGACCGCTAGTAAGTATCATGTATAGTATAAATGAATGGTATACGCACCTCAGTCAATGGAAGAAAGACTGAGGTGCAAGTGTAGCATCTAGCCACCTTTAAGTACGAAAGAGAAAATGAGAAGATGGTCAGTTACTAGGGGGACATGACGTCCAATGACACTGACAGCTAAGGCACATGAAAATGTAACGGTTAGATATATCTATCTGGAACTGGCTCGGTGGCATCAGGAAAACCCTCCGCTATAAACCTAGGCTAAGTATGTGGAATTTGACAAAATTTTCTCTAATTCCCGATAGTTTCACAAAAGTAGGCACCTTAGTGAATTAGAGAAAGTTTTTTACTGCCCCGCCATATCTCACTCGCGCTCACTAGTTTAGTGATAATTATAATAAATTTACAAAGCTTTATGCAAATTTACAATGAGTTATCACGGAACATGATGACATCAATGATGACGGCTCAGGATTTTGATTTCGTTCGAACGTTTTACAAGAACAAATTAAGCTTTTATTAAATGAGGGATATGTCAACATAGCTGAGTAGACGAGAAAGGAGCACTTCTAAGAGAACGAGTCATAATGCAAAAAAGAAGATAAACGAATGCGACTATTTAACACGAAACTGCCAGTCAACCCAGAAATCTACTCTTCGTCATCCATACCATCAAGATCGAGGAATGCCATTGCGGAGTCGTGTGACCCGACGAGAGCAGCATTGCCATTGGCGGAGAGTTGTCTTATGGAGAGGTGAGACTCGGACACGATAGTCAATAGTACAATGCAGAAATCAACTCACTGGATAGCATCAAAAATATTGGCCATCATTTTATGAAACTTGCCTGGTGCGGCCCCCTTCATTTTCTCGAGAAGTTTCACATGAAAAAAGTAGACCTCGCTGAATAAATTGCCTGTAAAATTGAACTTGGATGGAGATCCATTGGCCTTCCACAGAAGCGCAGCATATACCTGTGCACTCGTCAATACATGAACTCGGACTGGATCAAGAAATATACTGAAGTACTGGTTAAGGCCACCATTGGAATCGTCACCTCGGGCCGTTGGGCCTTGTTGCTCACAATCTCCTCAAAACGGTCCGAAAATTTCATGCCAACTGACTTTGGCCCGTTGAAGTAGTGCCCTCTCATCAGATATGGCAAGATCTCAGCGAAGTATGGTTTTTTTGACTGTGCAATTGGAATATTTTTCTCCTGCAGTCACCGGGTAAATCAGCATGTGTGACCCAGAATATAGCCACCTACATTGAAATGCTGCTCATAATGATAAACGTGATTGACGAGCAAAGCTTTTGTGGTGTCGACACAATCAGGCCCGAGACGGTAATATGCTGTCACCTGTGCGCAAGCATCGTCTTTCAATTCTGAGCGGAAAAGTGGGACTCTGGCTTCCACCTGCACGAGGTTCAATTAACTAGTACTCCAGTAGAGAATACAACGTACCAGCGTAGCAAGAGCTGTCACATACGAGTCGTTGGACTTGAGGCGATCCTGGATTATTGGGACACCACAGGCACGAGCTGCTGTTAAGAGCGCATTCCACGTGAACAGACTCTTCTCGGTGAGTTCTGGATACCCGTTGACAAATGTAACGTGGACTTTGGCCTCCAATATCGCTCTTTGGACGACACGGCGTGTGTCGATATCTTGGTCCATCAACTTCAGCTTACCGGTATTCGTCCGTACGAGTCTGGCACTTCCAGGGCGACCATGACGTGTAAGGCCAGAATCATGATAATCTAAGTCGACCTCTTGAGATCCCTCTAAATCGTTGGACTCATCCGGCACCATAATTTCTTCGAGTTCCTTGTCCGACTCGGCAATACCATCTGCCCAAACAGGCATCTGCAGTGTCCGTGACATCAAACACGGAAATAAGCACAATAAAACTTTTGCTCACCTCGTCTGCTCGTTTGCGATCGCGTGTGGACTGAATTTTTGCCTTCTGAGGGGCCACTGCACGAGTCCTTGGTTGGGTCGACGCGAAGGGGAACAGCTCAGCTATCTGCCTCGACTTCTTTGAGGCAGTTGTGCGAGGCCAGGTTGCTTGCGTCAAAGGAAAGTCAGCCTGTTCAGCTTTCGACATCGAAACAAAAATTGGTTTCTGAAAGGAAATGTATAGTCAGCTACCAGAACAGTAACAATGACACTTACTTCAGTTGATAAGGACTTTACGACAGAGTCAATGGGCTCCTCCAACTCGTCGTCAATATCCTCCATGTCCAAGTTATTTTCCTGCTCCGAGTCATTTTCCTGCTCCGAGTCATCATGACCAGGTTGGAATTCGGAAATCTCATCGCTGAGTAGTTCATCGTCGGACACTGCATGCGGTTTAGCAACTAAATGGTACCCGGGCCAGGTGAATCAGTCAACGACTATGAAATTATAGTTCATTTGCTCACCTCGGCGCTTCTTGGTAAGTGACCCTGTTGCGTCACGAGCTTGAGGTACAGTCTCATGTAAGCATAAGTCCGTTGCTTGGTGCAAACACTTACCTGGACGCTTTCTAGCCACAGGCCCAGGGATCTCTGGGACATGAGGACTAGCAACACTGCTGTGGCCATCATGACGCTTGGTGGCACTGGTAGACACATGGGTTTTGCATTGCACAGGAGCTTGAGTGAGCTTCCCTCCAGTGGGACGCTGCCGCTGTGATTTTGTAGTCATCCAGACTAGGACAATATCTGGTGAGAAGCATTCCACAATCATCATATAACACTGACCTGCGTTTTCCATTGCCTTTTGCTTTGCGCTTCGAATACCTATAATGTATATTCACAGTTAGCTCTCATTATGACAGTAAGTACTACTTACTTCGACTAGAACCAGTGTTATCGGCGCGTGCCATACTGACTTGTTGAATGGTACTTTAAACAAGTAGATATTAGTAGATGATTTTGGGATGTAATGGAAGGAAATTGAGGAAACTACCTTGTACTGGCCTTGGTACTACCAATTTATATTAGATGCCACCGCCAAGGGAAAACTTACTCGCCTGCCATGGGTTCCAAAACGATTGAATTTTTGAGCGCCTGTTTTAGATTAGTTCAGGCTTCATCGGATCGCGAACAAAATCAAAGGTACAATTTGGTCAGCATCAATTTCAGGATCACTCCTACCCTTAACAAATAAGGTCCTTGAGAGCGCATGAGTATAGGCAGCTGAAAAGAAATATACAGAGGCTAGAATTTGACCAGGCTCCTTTCCCAGCCCCCGATTCGAGTGTGAGGGGCGATATCTGAGGGCACCGTTTGAGGAATAAGGTCATGCTGGGTTCGAATTTTCTTGTATCAGGTGACATATCAAACGGTGCCCTCAGATATCGCCCCTCACACTCGAATCGGGGGCTGGGAAAGGAGCCTGGAGTTTAATTTTACCTTCAATATCTTAGTGTTCGAATATCATCTTTACTGGACTCTCCTGTTCTAGAACTTGGTGTGATCATAACAGGTATAGTGTAAGCTCAAGGAAAAAGGATGAATTTTCATGTGCGAAGACACTGTGCATTTGTAGAGACGTTGAACGAAGTACAAGTTATGAGTATGTGTGCTACATGATATCTACTACAGCACCATGACCCCAGTCATCATCATGTCAAGTCGAGCTAATACATTAGTTGATTGGAGCTGCGAGTCTCCAACATTGAGCATGTGAGACTTAGAATGGTCGAATATGAGTTTCTGGACATTGTCCAGACCATCAATGTAGCGAACGATGTCGTTGAAAGTGTCTTTCCCTTCAAGCTGCGTGAATGGTATGACAACCGGTGGATGAGGCAGCTGCTCCCGCAGCACAAGCTTCACAATGGAACCAACAGCGGAGATAGCATAATTGACTTGCTGGAGTCGGTCTGATGTCATAGCGGCAAGAAATTCGTAAATGCCGAGGTCACTGCACCATATGAAGTGAACGGTGACGTGAAAGATTAAGGGATTGTCGAGGATGCCATCTAGTAAAACGATGTTCCCGTCCTGAAGAACAACCAATCAACACTGTCTATTTGAAACAAAATTTAAACATACTATGTCGACTGTAAACCTATGCATGAAGGCCAGTGGGTTGGCACTATCGTTGATCAACGCAGCTATCACGCGACCCCGGAATTGATCTGGCACGACATTAGAGCCGACTGGTGGGTAAAGGTTGTAGCCCAGGGCAAGACAACTCCGAACGATGACCAGGAGCTTCCGAAAAATGTTATTCCATGCCACCATAATCTGCTGCCGTTGGCTACTCGTTGTTTTAATTGTAGCTAAATAAATAGATTAGTATTCTACTCAATTTATCTGCCAAAACGTACCGTTAAGACCCAGGATAGACGCTGCCTCCGAAATTGCAACAGATACAAGTGCCGCACCCGTGTCATCAGTACCGGCCATCGCATTTGCTGTCAGTATGAACCTCACAATTCTTCTCTTCACGTGTTCAACAATCTGCTTCTTAACTTGAGGCGTAACATCAAGGATAATGGGACCTGGTCTGGCTGGCTGCATAGCAGCAGGAACGGTGTTGGATGTGGACTGTGAGGTGACAGGTTCTACCGGCATGACCGGCATAATTGCCGGCTGCATGGCCATGGGTTCAGGTGGTGGCGCAGGGGCTAGATGGGCCGTGTGTGTAGTATGGGGGACAGTGACTGCGGGTTGCACAGGACCAAGGGCAGCCATCGTTGGCTCAGGTGGCGGAACAGCTCTGGGTCCGGGTATGAAATACGGCATGGTGGAGGAGGTCCGAGCACGCCGATGCCTCTCAGAACGCTGGGAGGATCCTACAAATGACTGGGGAAAGGGTAGTGGGTAGAAGGTGTCGAACTGTGCGGAGGAGGGAATGAGAGGCTGAATGCTGTCGACAGTGCTACTGGTCGACGGATCATTAGTGCTGGATGGCCCAGGGGAAGGTTTTCGGGAGTTAGATAGCAAATCACCGGTGTTCATCATGTGGTGGTGGTCGGTCATACGGAGGAATCGTTCAAGTGGATCCTCATCATCTGCTTGATGCACTATTAGCTCGCAACTACTATAACATTGGATGAATACATACCATTCAAACTTGTTCCCGATCTGAATCCATTGTATTGATTGTCATAGTCATTTTCAAATGACTCGCTGGTAATGTCTTGAAGTTCACCAGAAATGCCTGAACGCGGATTATGGTCAGGCATCTGCATACTTTGCTGAGAGCAAGTAGGTAAGGAGAAATGAGATGGGGAAGGAGTGGCCACTGGTTAAAGGGTACTTACACCATGCATCTGGGGGCTGGAATTGAGCGATTTCCTGCATCGCGCGCTAGAAACATGATGTAGAACCTCATTATAATATATAATAGCGAATAAAAGAAAAATTAAATAGAGCCAAGGTATTGGGCTAGCCATATCTGATACTAACGGCAATAATCCATGATAATGGCGACGCATAAGGTCAATATCAGTGGGGTGAGGCTCAAGAGATGATGGGAACGGAAGCGAAATTTGAATTGACTCACTCAATCCGTTGAATAATCGACCATGAGCATTGCATGTAAGGCGGCCAAAGAGAAGCAGTACATATATGGGATGTTTGAATGTCGACAAATATGGTTATTCAGTACCGAGAATCTTAATAATGCTGCGCACTGACTTCCATGTGCCGATCAGATGTTGTATTCTTTGACAAATGTGTAGTTCCAACGAGCATAATAGTGTGACAACAACTTGAAAATAAATATGAAAAAACTCTAGTACATTATAACTGCACAGAAGAGAAAATACATATGGTTAAAGCAATACTATCAGACGCGCCATAGACACCTCCATATTGATGTCACGATGATGGCAAATGGGGATTGATGAAAATGCGATCTGAGTTCACCGCTGCTTTATATGGTTGATCAGCGTGGTAATACTTCAAACGAGAATTTCACGTACCAATGGAAGAGCAATTATCAGGTAGTCGACTGTTCAGAGCCTTCACATGAAGCCTCGGAGTCAAGGTCCGAATCATCCACATGGCAAGATTCATCAGATGAGTCGGAAGGTTCCTCATTGCTGAGGCAGGAGAATGTGATGGGGTACATGGGGAATACTTCGGGAGATTTCAAAAACGCCTTCCTGACACGTACACTCAGGAGCTTCGCAACCTGATCAGTTTGTGTACTGATGATACGAAGGGCCTCGGATTCGTCCTGGTAGACAGCTTGGAGATAATTCCTATCATCACCCAGTTCTGCCTGGCCACACTGCGAAAAGATCTTCCTGAAGCACTGCAATTCCCACTCTGCCAACTTGAATCGTTCTTCGTTTTCAGCGTGGATACCATCAAGAAATATTGAGTGACGCTCAGCCTCTTCGATTTCCCACGTTGTCAACAACATGCGTTGGCGCGCAACCTCGCGCATTGCAAGCTTGGCCTTGTATCCTCTGTACAAGGTCAAAGTTGTCATTTGGGAGAGGCCACTCTCTAACTGTTCTTCAAACTTTAAGACTACATTAGCATGATTATTAACATCGGGAAGTCAATTCAATATACCTTCTTAGTTGCTTCCAATGGAAATTCGGATTGGAATTTGAGATTCATCACCCAGGCTGCATAACGAAGTTCCAATGGAGCTGGGTTGGTGGGGTATGGGAGAGACGTCCTTGATGGTTTCTTGCGTGCGAAGTGCTGTTGAGGAGATAGAGACCGTGACCTTTTGCCATGCCTAGAGAATAGGCTCTCCTTTAAATCAGCAGGCTTGGATGCTCCATCCCGTTCAATGCGCAGAGAACTATTCATCATGTTTGGAGAGAGGCCAGATTGTAGGCTTGAATTACAAAGAGTCATGTCAGACTGGCCCAAGGAGTCGGGAGAAGATGAAATTGTGGGACTGCTCATTTCTACAGGTGACAAAGGCAAATGAGGGCTGCAAGATTGAACAGGAGACGGAGGTGAGTTGGCCATCCTATAGTAAGGGAATCTCGGAACTTAGGTGGTGATACAGGTGATATATATTAATGGATACCTAGCGCGGAGCCTGAAAAAGGAAGCTTACAGGGTGTACTACTACAGTAGTATCTATCAGCAGAGCGCAGTGATAGCATTATACAGCATGGTCAGTTGCCCCGGATGTCATGAATCCTTTTCTGCAACAGGTTATAGTCAGCATCTAGCCAAGACTAGACAAACGCAATGCAGAGCCTTCCTTGCTACTTTTCGTGCAAATTCTAACTCCCAGGGCCTGGGGAGTCCGAAGAATCCGACACTCCAAGCTGGCACACATTCCCTGTCACCGCCTCCAGGGTCCTTGGAAGAACAAGATCATCCAATCTTATTTGAGGGAGATTTTTTTGGTACTTACGAGGAAGCTGATCTAGAATGGCCAGATGACCATTCTGGTGACGAAGAAGAGGACCTTTACAACGATGAATGGGAACCTCCTGCACAGGACAATAATGATGAACCGGAACCTCCGGTACCTGACGACGACATACTGGAAAATGAAGGTGCTGAAGCCTTGGAGAACCGAGAAGCTCGTCGGGAGATTGAGCAATGTACCATGGAGCAAGATCATATTGTTATTGTGCCCTATCCGGATGCCCATGCAGGCATACCAATAACTGGACAGCCTGCTCATGATTCAAATACCACATACGGTATAGATGCTGGCAACTCCAACAATATTTACGCTCCTTTCACCTCCCAGATAGACTGGGACGTTGCTAAGTGGGCAAAGTTACGCAGTCCTAGTTCAACAGCATTTACTGACCTTCTTGCAATTGATGAGGTAGGTGCCAGTGAAGGTTACATCCTTGATTGTTCTGATATCCATATGTAGGTCAGTGAACAGCTCAACCTTTCATTCAAGAATTCAAAAGAGCTTAATAAGATAATCGACAAGGACCTTCCTGGACGACCAAAGTTCAAGCGTGAACAAATCATTGTCGCTGGCGAAGCATTTGACATTTTCTACCGAGATATTGTTGAATGCATCAGATCTTTATATAGTGACCCTGACTTCGCCGATTTTCTCATATTCAAACCGGAGCGTCATTACGCTGATGAGGATAAGACAATACAATTATTTCATGATATGCACACTGGTCAGTGGTGGTGGGACACACAGGTAAGCATGGTATCATAAATTCAATGCTTGGCCTACATTATTGACTTTGTAATTCAAGAAAGTGCTCGATCGACGACGTCCAGGTGCCACAATCATCCCTGTCATCATATCGAGCGACAAAACCCAGGTTACCATGTTCCGCAACAAAACTGCATATCCCGTCTACCTTACAATCAGTAACATTCCAAAGGAAATCCGACGAAAGCCATCCCGTCGCGCTCACATTCTCCTAGCGTATTTGCCTACTACCCGCCTTGAGCATATCGCAAATAAAGCCTCAAGACGTCGAGCTGTTGCAAACCTCTACCATGCCTGTATGAGTCGCGTACTGGCTCCCCTAAAGACTGCTGGAGTTGATGGGCTTGTGATGAGTAGTGGCGATGGTGCACGACGTCGTTGTCACCCATTGTTCGCATGCTTCGTTGGTGACTATCCTGAGCAGTTACTTGCTGCTGGAGTGAAGTCGATGGAGTGCCCGAAGTGCGATGTTCCCACAGACAAACTCGAAAGTAATACAGCGCAATGCGATATACGCGATCTTCATGCTGTGTTGGATGCTCTTGCTCTGATCGATGAAGGTGACCTGGCCTTTGTACAAGCATGTCGTGCTGCTGGAATCAAACCAGTTGTCCATCCATTCTGAGAGGACCTGCCCTATACAAACATTTTTCAGGCAATCACGCCTGACGTGCTGCACCAACTATATCAGGGTCTCGTCAAGCATTTGCTTGGATGGTTAGCACTAGTGGTGCCGAAGTCCGGTTCGGTTCGGTTCTTAGGCCTCTAAATGCGAACGCCGAACTGGACCATCGGTCGCGTTCAGGCAAGGAGGGCGAACGCTGGACCGGACCCTTATGAACGCGTTCACAAGCGTTCGGTTCAAGTTCAGAACGCGTTCGAACGCTCGAACGCTACATATAATTTGACAAAAATTGCAAGAAATACATGAACCGTAAATGAGTAGCTAAATTTCGTCCATGGCATAGTGTTCGTGAGCAGCAGCAAACTCAGCTTGAACCGTTGCAGAAATGTGGCCTTGACGGTACCCACTCTTCAATAACTGAAGGGCCTCGAATGTTGTTGGCAACAAACGATTACGGCGCGCAGTCCCAGTGATGCCGCCACTCGAAAAGGCTCGTTCAGATGCAACGGCAGAGCCTTGAATAGCGAGGTAATCCTTTGCAATGCGTGAGATGGTGGGATATTGAACGGAATGGTGCTAAAGGCATAATGAGTCAACTTGCAAGGAAATGCGATGCGAAAAAACTCACACCCCACCACGCCACTATATTCTCAACATCCTCTAATGGGGCAGCAAGGTAGTCGTCAAGCTCCTGGCGAGGTCTTCGATTTGCGGTGTCATTTGCGACACGAGTTTTGACAGCATCGCGCATCCAGCTATGGCCGTATGACCCACTGGAGTCGTGTTGCCAGCATCGCGGATTTTTTCTGTCGGTTTAACAGCTCGGCCTGAGCGAGACACAAAGGCAGTTAGCTTGCCATTGGATGCAGGAGGTGGAGGTGGAGGAAGCATGGGCGTGTCATCGTCAGGATCATTGTACCAATCGATGGCACTAGCATCCTTGAGTTGGCCGTCAGATCCAAGTGCGCACGACATTTGTGCAGCAAGGAGGGTGAAGATTGAACCTGTAGTAAGTAGCTCATTTATTCCAAATTTTATGATAAGAGATCAAAAAAATGACGCACCTTGAACATCCTGTTGCCATGCAATTACTTGGTGTTGAAGCTTGAAGTACCAGAACGAGAAACCTGAGAATATGTTCTGAAAATAAAGACCATTGAAGTCTGAATAAAGATTAACATTTGTTTAACATTAGGCTTACCAGAACATCGAGTAGATTACCAGGGAAGTCAGATCTCGCCAATGGAAATGTGTTGGGTGTTTTGGCTGCGAAGTCCGATCCGCTATTGATTGTCCCGAGATCGATCGACATGCCGGTTGCCAGAAGATCAGAGCAGATATATTGGTGGATCATGCAAAGAATATGAGAACACGTTCAGACGGGTTCGAACGGGTTCACAGTATTCAGGCAGCAGCCGAACGCTGAACTTAATAATCAGTTCGGTCCTTATACTATTTCGAACCCAGGACCGAACCCACGGTCCGGTCCGGGAGGGTTCAGGTCCGAACCGAAGTTCAGAACCGGACTGCGGCATCACTATCACGACTGCGGCAGGCGCGACAGAGGACCGCGTCAATTTCACCCGGCTCAAACCTGCGCGGGTTGCAGACACATGCATTTGCATATATTGACACATAGTAAATACTTACATCTTTTTAAAAAAGTGTAAAGCGTACAAAAATTGAGAGGTTCGAACCCGTTCGAACCTATTCACTACCAGCCCGAACCCCGAACCTCTGGAAAGGTTCGGTTCTGAGTCTTGGCCGAACCTTGGACCGGACCATGCGTCCGGTTCGGAAAGGTTCAGGTTCGAACCGAGGTTCGGAACCGGACTGCGGCAGCACTAGTTTGGAGAGCAGCGCGTTGGGGTTTAGCGTGTATGCTATCCACCGTCACAAGTGGATCACCATGCCCTCGAGCGTCAGTCGATAACCACTTTATCTTGTGATATACGGGGACGGAGTGGAATGGTAAATGGATACCTGCAGCGACGTTCTCCAGCCGCTGACGAGTGAAAACCTCATTTGGATTCTGTTGTTCTGCAATGTACCGAGCAAGTGCTTCTCGGAAGTAAGTTGCGCCATAGTCAGATATCAATGTTGGAACTGAGACAGCTTTGGCGCTTGGATGCTTTGTCATTTTTAGGGTGCGGTCGAGGCGTAGGTCGGGTGGACGCGGTTGATAAGGAGCGCAATCTCTATCAAGGCGCCATTTTATGTACTGCTCGTGACAGATGATCTTCTCCTTTCGTTCTAGCCATCGTGTCATCTGCGTGAATTTGTGCTTGTGATTGGTAGCATGATAGGCATCCTTGGCGAGATCTATATGCAGCCTTTCAGTGTACTCGGTGTTGTAGTTATCCGTTGTCCCAAACATCCGAATCATAGACGTATAATGACATATTGCATGGAGTTTTGGAAGGTTGAAGTTGTTTCGGATTCCAAGGTCAACAAATATCTCCTTGTTGTCGTGAAAGAGTGCGCGAGCTTCATCTAGTAAAAGTAATGTTTCAGAGCTATGACATGGATATTGCGCAAGGTAGAGGAAGTCGAGGAGACCGTGTACAGCCTTTAGAAGGCGAGACGAAGCAAGATTTCCGGGAAGCCGGATGTCAATAATGATGCCAAGGAGGAAGCGACATATTTGGCTGTGTTCAGTACCACTGAGGTGACTGAGACTGGTAATACCCTTCATGAATAGTCGGATATGATGGTTGGGAGGTAACCGACGGCATCGTGCATTGATCTCTGCAGCTCCACACGCTTGTGCTAACTAGTGATGCCGCAGTCCGGTTCTGAACTTCGGTTCGGACCTGAACCCTCCCGGACCGGACCGTGGGTTCGGTCCTGGGTTCGAAATAGTATAAGGACCGAACTGATTATTAAGTTCAGCGTTCGGCTGCTGCCTGAATACTGTGAACCCGTTCGAACCCGTCTGAACGTGTTCTCATATTCTTTGCATGATCCACCAATATATCTGCTCTGATCTTCTGGCAACCGGCATGTCGATCGATCTCGGGACAATCAATAGCGGATCGGACTTCGCAGCCAAAACACCCAACACATTTCCATTGGCGAGATCTGACTTCCCTGGTAATCTACTCGATGTTCTGGTAAGCCTAATGTTAAACAAATGTTAATCTTTATTCAGACTTCAATGGTCTTTATTTTCAGAACATATTCTCAGGTTTCTCGTTCTGGTACTTCAAGCTTCAACACCAAGTAATTGCATGGCAACAGGATGTTCAAGGTGCGTCATTTTTTTGATCTCTTATCATAAAATTTGGAATAAATGAGCTACTTACTACAGGTTCAATCTTCACCCTCCTTGCTGCACAAATGTCGTGCGCACTTGGATCTGACGGCCAACTCAAGGATGCTAGTGCCATCGATTGGTACAATGATCCTGACGATGACACGCCCATGCTTCCTCCACCTCCACCTCCTGCATCCAATGGCAAGCTAACTGCCTTTGTGTCTCGCTCAGGCCGAGCTGTTAAACCGACAGAAAAAATCCGCGATGCTGGCAACACGACTCCAGTGGGTCATACGGCCATAGCTGGATGCGCGATGCTGTCAAAACTCGTGTCGCAAATGACACCGCAAATCGAAGACCTCGCCAGGAGCTTGACGACTACCTTGCTGCCCCATTAGAGGATGTTGAGAATATAGTGGCGTGGTGGGGTGTGAGTTTTTTCGCATCGCATTTCCTTGCAAGTTGACTCATTATGCCTTTAGCACCATTCCGTTCAATATCCCACCATCTCACGCATTGCAAAGGATTACCTCGCTATTCAAGGCTCTGCCGTTGCATCTGAACGAGCCTTTTCGAGTGGCGGCATCACTGGGACTGCGCGCCGTAATCGTTTGTTGCCAACAACATTCGAGGCCCTTCAGTTATTGAAGAGTGGGTACCGTCAAGGCCACATTTCTGCAACGGTTCAAGCTGAGTTTGCTGCTGCTCACGAACACTATGCCATGGACGAAATTTAGCTACTCATTTACGGTTCATGTATTTCTTGCAATTTTTGTCAAATTATATGTAGCGTTCGAGCGTTCGAACGCGTTCTGAACTTGAACCGAACGCTTGTGAACGCGTTCATAAGGGTCCGGTCCAGCGTTCGCCCTCCTTGCCTGAACGCGACCGATGGTCCAGTTCGGCGTTCGCATTTAGAGGCCTAAGAACCGAACCGAACCGGACTTCGGCACCACTAAGTCGTGACGCGCTGTGACACAGTACTGCACCGTCACAACATGTTCAAACACTAGGTATCTTATGTCGCTATATGAATTCCAAACACTTTGAACTCTTGCTAATGATTAATATAGGTAAGTACTACTTGGGAATGTTATGAGCCATGCTGATCAAAGTCGTTGCTTATTGTTCGCAGGAAGTGAGTATGTCAAGATTTTCGAGCTCGAACCATTCTGATCCAAATCGTTGGCGGACCAGGCCACCGTTCCTCGTTCGAACAAGAGCCGTGCTGATCCAAGACGTTGGCCACCGTTCGCAGGTCGTGAGTGTGTCGATCCTCGTTCAAGCAACAGCCATGCTGATACAAGTCGTTGCCCACCGTTCGCAGTTCGTGAGTCTGTCGGTCTTCGTTCGAGCTCAAGCTATGCCGCAAGTTACCGTGTTCATCCTCGAGGGTCTCAGGTGGAGACCTGTCAGGGGTAGCTGATGGGATTAGTGTCACAGTGGCTGCTATTGGAGGTACGTCTTATTTCAGTTGTGATGATGCGATAATGGACGACCACCTTTCACTACAGGCTTTGCGCATCGCGCGACGATGCAGGTCGTGTGCGCGGTGATCACTGATCTCAAGTTTTTCACTTTTGGTTTTGGCCGCCGGTGAGTGGTATCGTTCATCTTTCCACCTTTTCTCATGCCTTACTTGAAAATACTAGAGTGTGTCCTGGTCAACATGTCGCGAATCGGTCCATCTTCATCAATACGGCTGTTATTCTCTGGGCTTTCTGTTGGAACTAGACCAAGGTCTCAGCGGACGTGTAAGACAACGCTGAATTGAATTTACCTAGACCAAGGTCTAGGTCGTACGTTAGCAAAGCTGGATACAAAAGAGTAGTGGTATACGTACCTCAGCGGACGTGTAAGACAACGCTGAGGTATCGCTGCGTACGAGCAAGATATTTAAAGGTAAGCAATAGAAGGTTCAAGACGGAGAGAAGCTGCCGAGAAACATATGGTGCTGAAGCTGACAAGATACGATAAGGATCGGAAAAGGAAAAGAAGACAAAAATGGTCCCGGAGGCTAATCCTCCGGGACTGGTACCATGCGTGTGTGTCCGACTTGTATCGTCCAACGCCCAACTCGTACCATCCAATACTCAATTCGTCCGACCCGTATCGTCCAACACACCCCCTCAGCGAGACACCAGATGAAGGCCGGGCAGATGTTTTTCGAAGAGAGGTCGAGGGAGAGCTTTCGCGAAGATATCCGCGGTGTTCCTGTGAGAGGCGACCCATTTGAGTAGGAATGTTCCTTTCTCAATATGTTCCCGGATGAAATGGTATCGCACGTCAATGTGCTTGGAACGGATGTGATTGCGTGCTTCAGTTGATAATGAGATGGCGCCAGTATTGTCCATGAAGATGACGATGGGGAAAGGAAGATGTACGTGAAGCGAGATGATGAGCGACTTGATCCAGAGGCCTTCTTGTATGACGTGCGTGACCGCCATATATTCGGCCTCTGTGGATGAGAGAGCATGAGTCGTCTGTTTCTTTGAGACGTGGGCTATGATGCCCCCGCCATAGTACCATACGTAGCCTGAGATTGACAACCGGTCAGAGGGTGAGCTAGCCCAATCGGCGTCACAGTACGCGTGCAGTTCATCGTTTGCGCCGGCACCCCCATACTGTAGGCGAAGGTTGATAGTACCAGATAGATAGCGAAGTAGTCGTTTCGCAGCTGCATAATGTGCTGGGAGAGGGCTTGAGTTGTGTTGTGCAAGGGAGTTGACGGCGTATGAGATATCTGGACGGGTACAAATGGCGAGATACAATAGTTCACTGACGAGCTTGCGAAAGAGGGTGGGGAGATTGGGGATTGTGTCATGGACGGCGTCTGGTCTGCCGAATGGATGATGTGGGTCAAGAGGGAGACGGACTGGGTTACATTCAAGGAGGTCGTATTCTTCCAGTAGGTAGGTGATATACTCGCTTTGATGCATCCACAGCTGGCGCGTGTTACGGTTTCGTTCGAATTGGATACCAATGAACTTGGTGACTGGTCCCATGTCTTTGATGCCGAAACGCTGATGGATCTTCTGTTTGACCCAGGTTAAGAAAGCCGGCGAATTAGACGTTCCCATCCCGTCGTCGACGTGGAACCCAATAATGCAGAGTATACGGGTGCCGGAGGTGCTGCTGTCAAAAAGGAACACTGTGTAGTCGACGGGACACCGAGTGAAACCCAACTCATCCATCACCTCCCTCACCTGCTCGTACCATTCCATGGCGGACTGCTTCAATCCGTAGATTGTGCGAAGCATCCGCCAGACCTGTACCCTCCAATCTCCATGTTCGAACCCCTTGGGTTGACGCATGTAGATCTCCTCTTTAAGTACTCCCCAGAGGAAAGCGCGTGTGGCGTCGAAGGAGTGAAGTTCCCAGTCATGCTTGCACGCCAGAGCTGCAATGAGTCGTAAGGATGCTGTCTTTAGTACTGGTGCAAAGGTTGCGCCGTAGTCTATGCCTGGAATTTGAGAGAATCCTTGGGCGACAAGACGCGCCTTGTAAATAGACCCGCCCTTATTGTCCTCTTTAAACTCTAAGACCCAACGGTTGCCGATTGCCTTGCGACCTTCTGGGATGGTCGCGATCTTGTAGACGTGCATCTCCTCCATTATTTGTAGCTCCTTTTTCATGGCGGTAAGCCATTCATTATGGTCAGGGCGCAGCATGGCTTCTTCGTACGTCGCGGGAGGGATTGACATGTCGTAGTTGCAGTCGTTGGGATTTCTTCTTCGGTCACTTCGGATGGAGATGTGCGCGTGCTCCTCGATCATCACGTTAGCAAATGCCTCGGGGACGTCTATGTTCGGCTCAATTTCCTCCAAGTTCACCTTCTCATCTGCTTCTTCTCCTTCAGCAACCACCCCCTCGTTCGACGGAACAGGCACTTGAGCGCGGGCGGCGCGAGATTCTCGTAGAGTTTGAAGGCGTTTCTTGGTGGCGTTCATTTCAGCCTCCCAGGCCTGGCCGCCTGCAGTAGATACTTTAGTCCGAGTAGAACGTCGAATGGTAGAGACGATGAGAGGAGATTTGGGAGCTGTGGTGACTTGTGGAGGAGAAGGGACAGCGTGAGGAACGGAAGAAGGAGTGAGAGGTAGCGCATCATCTGAGTCTGAATCGTCGTCCGAACGGGGCACAGAAGGCAGGTGTTCATCAAAAATGACGTCGCGTGCGACAAAGAAGGCGCCGGTGACCTGATCACGCAGGCGATAACCTTTGGTACCCTCAGGGTACCCGAGGAAGATAGCCGGTCGGGAGTGCGGGCCGAGTTTGACCTGGAGTTCAGCAGGTATTCTAGCGAAGCAACGAGACCCGAATACCCGGATATGTGAAAGGTCGGGCTTCCTGCCATTTACCAGCTCGAAGGGTGTGACATTGAGTGGGAGAGCGCGTGAGGTACTCCTGTTCCATAGGTAACAGACTGTTAATGCGGCTTCGCCCCAGAGATTGGCAGGCAACTTGGCGGCCTCTAACATCGCGAAAAGACGCCCTCCTATAGTCCGAATCGCACGCTCAGCTTTTCCATTTTGTTGATGTGCGTATGGCACGGAGAGTTGACGCTCTATCCCGGCATCCTGAAGAGCCTTAGAGAATGCACTACTCACAAATTCCCCCCCATTGTCAGACCGAAAGGCCTTAACCGCTCGCCCAGAGTGATTCTCCCAGCGTTTCCTGATAATCTCCCAGGCATCCAAAGCTTGGTCCTTCGTAGCGAGGAGTTGCAGGTTAAGCAAATTGGTGTGATCATCTAGAAATATGATGAAATGGAGTTTACCATGGGGCGTCGTGACAGGAAAGGGACCGCAAAGATCGGAATGAATAAGGTCGAGCATATGAGCTGTGCGAGGGCTGTCAGAAGAAGGAAATGGCTTTCGTGGGTGTTTGGCGATGACACACGATTCACATTGCTGAAGGGGAACCGTGGACTCTATGGTAATGCCGGTGGCCGCACGAGAGAGGTGTTTGATCATGTCACCCCCTGGGTGACCCAAACGGGCGTGCCATAAGTCGAGCGACAAGGGAACACGAGCGAATGCTGAGATCTCACGAGGTGCGTGATGAGGTGAAGGTGCGGGACTATTGGGACGAATGAATTTAAGATCAATGAAGAATAGGTTCCCTATCATTGGAACTTCTCCCAGAACTTCGCCGTGATACTTAAGTTGACACCGAGCCGGCGAATGTTCGAAGTTACAAGACCACTTCTTCTTGAGCATGTGACCGATGGAGAGCAAGTTGATCATCGCCCCGGGAGCATGAAGACAATCAGTGAATGTGATGCGGAAGGTCTTCCCACCCAGTGACATTTCTGCAACGCAATCGCCGCGTCCCGAAGTGGGCAAACTGCCGTGGTTGGCGGTTTTGACCGTCACGCGTGAACTCTCCGTATAAGTCCAGAAGAAACTGCGATCTGCAATGAGGTTCGACGTCGTTCCTGAGTCTAATATGGTGGATAGGGAGCTGCGCACTATGCAGGCCATGTCCTCAAAGCTGGGGTAAGACTCAGAAGGAAGTTCCTCAATGACGGCACAGCTGAGGTTGCGAGGCTCATCAGTGCTCGAGGAGGACGTAGTAGGCGAAGTGGATGTAGGATCTGTGCTACTGGTGGTCGCAGCAGCGACCTCCGGTTTCTTTGCCGGTCTCTTGTCGCGAGCCCTTGTGAGAAAGTTGCCTCCCTGCCCTTCCATTCCCCCGCCTGGCTGAAAGCAATGTTCACGGTCATGTGTTAAGGACCGTGGCAGCCCAGAACATGCCGGGTTGTCGCAGCTGACGCCCTTGGGATTCGACTTATGGATTCGGATGCCTGTCTTAGAATTTGCCTTCCCATCAGGAGGTCGAGAGAACGACATAGCGTTAGCATACTCTGATCCTGGTCCGGCGAGCTTCTGCTCTCCTCGGAGGCGATTGGCCTCCTCGGAGAGTGAAGAGACGATTGCCGCGAAGGTCATCTTGGTGACTGTGGTCGTGGTGGAAGAAGAAGATGCAGTGGGGACGGATGATGAGCTATAAAGGTTCATTGTCATGCGTTTAAATATAATCCACTCGGGAGTGGGAGGGAGACCGTGCAGCAATAGGAATACCATCTCATCTTCTGTGACTACGACTCCCATCTCAGCAAAGCGACGTCTTGCGTTCTCGAATGTACTGATGTAACGAGACGTGTCGTCGACATCTTTGAGTTTTTCCGCGAATAGCTGAGCACGGAGTTCAAACTGAGATGTTACGTCGAGACGTGCGTAATGCGTAGCGAGAGTGGTCCATTGCGCCCTGGCCGTCCAGTCCTCGCTCAAGAGACCTTGGACGACCGCTGACAACTTCCTGCAAATGATACCTTTGGCTTGTGCATCGTTTTTGATCCATTCGATTATGGTTAATTTCTCGGCGGCAGTGGGAGACCCAGGGACAGCAGGTGAAGGCATGACCACGGCGAATTCGGCGTAGTTGTTAGGATCGGTGCCGGAACTGCAGTGGTTCCATAGCCCGTCTGCCTGGAGAGCCAGAGTGACTGCTCGACGCCAAGCTGGGTATTCATCTGCGCCGGTAAGCTCGATGATGTGGTCGTACTTTCCCATAGTAATGAGGAAGTTGGGACACGAAGAGAATGATTGGATTGGGGAGCGTTTCACTGGTTCGTTTCGTGAGGAGGGGGGACTGTTTCCTGGTATGGGGTTATATCAAAACCCAGGGCTCATAACCTGTTGGAACTAGACCAAGGTCTCAGCGGACGTGTAAGACAACGCTGAATTGAATTTACCTAGACCAAGGTCTAGGTCGTACGTTAGCAAAGCTGGATACAAAAGAGTAGTGGTATACGTACCTCAGCGGACGTGTAAGACAACGCTGAGGTATCGCTGCGTACGAGCAAGATATTTAAAGGTAAGCAATAGAAGGTTCAAGACGGAGAGAAGCTGCCGAGAAACATATGGTACTGAAGCTGACAAGATACGATAAGGATCGGAAAAGGAAAAGAAGACAAAAATGGTCCCGGAGGCTAATCCTCCGGGACTGGTACCATGCGTGTGTGTCCGACTTGTATCGTCCAACGCCCAACTCGTACCATCCAATACTCAATTCGTCCGACCCGTATCGTCCAACACTTTCCGCCTTTCAGAGAATCCTGCAGCGAAGATTGACACGCTTGCAATCTCGAATACTGCAACCGTACATGCTGCTGCGTTTGAGATATGTTTAGAGAAGAGGATCGATGAGAATGTGATCAGGGAACTATGTGCACCGGGCAAATAAAATGTGTTTATTTTAGAAACTTGAATTCAATCTTTGTACAAAGAAGTTCTCCTTGCGTTAGAGTCTTTTCGTTGTCTGTCCGACTCGAATTACATGACAACTCATGGTCTCGAGCCTATACAACCACAGATGGTCCAAGCTTAGTCGAACCTGGTTCGAACGCGAACCGGACCCTCCCGAACGCGTTCGGTGACGTTCGGTCCAGGGTTCGACCAAATGGCTGAACCGAACCTATGGTTCGGTTCGGCGTTCGGAAAATTTGCCCCAAGAACCGAACCGAACCGGACTTCGGCAGCACTACTCCAAACGGATGATGTAGTACCAGCACGTTTCGATACTGCACTTATCAACGATGGTACTGGCAGCTCTGTTGGCATCAAAGGTATGGCACTACACTTCACTGGATTCACACTGTTATAGCGTCAGTGATAATTTTGTTGCTAGGCTTCCGCATAGGCCAAGTTCGTGTCATTTTCTCAATTCCTGCAACGGCAACACAACTATTGTTCCCTCCAGCAAACCAGCCTCCCAAGCACCTTGCGTATGTCGAATGGTTTACTCCCTTTCCTGCGACACCAGATCCCAGGCACGGCATGTACAAAGTTAGCCGATTCATTCGGTCTGGCGAGAGGGTGGCAAGTATCATTCCTGTTTCAAATATTGCCCGCAGTGTCGATCTTATCCCAAAGTTCGGAGCTATTGTACCTCGACACTGGACAAGTAACAATGTTCTCGAAGAATGTGACACCTTCTTCGTTAACTGCTATATTGATAGACATAGTTTCGTAACTCTCAGATAATGCTATATCGCATTAGCAATATTTTAGAAAGAATAATTGAATTAGTGCTATTCTGTATTACTTGGTATAACTTGTCTAACTTTTGAGAAATTTGTTACACTTAGTCTAGGTTTGTATCGGAGGGTTTTCCTGATGGCCTGCTCTGACGGATCACCTCTCTACATGACACGTATATGTGCTATTTCGGAATTGATGGGGACGGCCCGCTGCTGTTTTCAATGGTTTGGATGCTCAACACTGTTTGGGAGGTCCTCGCGCTGTGTCTTTTAGTCTGGGTTGCTGTGAAACACTTTCGTGAACTGCGACGACACGGCCTATCGACGGGATCGCCCATCGGGGACTGTTTCAGAGTGCTCATACAATCTCACGTTTTTTATTTTGCAAGGTGAGCTTGTAATATGAACGTGATTGTATTTTTCTGCTGAAGTTCTGCACATTGTTAGCTTTGCTGGTGTCTCTTGCCTCCAGCTTGCTTTCTCTCCAGCAATCTCGGTGCGCTGACCTGTCACTGATATCTGCGTGTGACCACTGCTCATCAGTTCTGTAGGATTCGAATTCCATTGGAGCTCTGATACTCAATGGTGCTCTTGTGGTTTTATCGGTCGTGCAGATGTTTGTGCTGGGACCACGCCTCATCCTTAGCGTTCGACAATATCGCGCTAAAGTCGTGGAAGACTTTGACGCAGAAAATTGGATGAATTCGATGGTCTTGCAGGAGCATGTACATGTCCCAACTAGCAGTACTGTGTAGAGAAATGCTTACCGAGTGGTCTGCAGGGATAAGAAATTTGGTGGAGGATCAGTCGTAGTATTTATTCAACATATAGGGTTTCGAAGTATATTTGAAAGGTCTAGGCAAAGCTATTTATCACTATTGGAATGAAGTACCTGCGCTTGAACTAAGCGGTAAGGTGAAATTATCCAGGAGAAAGGCTAGGCTATTCTCCGTCAACGCCCGCGTGAATTCTACGAAGCGAAAGCAACTGTGAAACATGCCGAAATAGTGGTCACATAGACTCGTAACCAGTCTTTACTACGCGGAACAGTAGAATTTAACGAATATGGCGAAACCGATAGCAGCACAATCGGGGATCCGATTCTTGGTACATTTGACGAATCCTCTACAGGTACGCCTGTCTGTGCTCCCTTCAAGCTTCAAGTTTGTATGTCAAATCGAAGCCTTACCCAGCCTATATAATCGGATGGAGGAAATCGCATCTGAGCACCGATGGGTTATCGGCTGTCTGGCTTCACGCTTCGTAGTCACTTCATCGTCTATATAGCCTTTCAGACAGTGAAACTCCACAAATGCGCAAATGTCAGGGCACTTTCATTGATTTTTGTTGTTGTATTCACTATTTTAACATTGGCTAGTATCATTGACTAGTTTGGTTGCTGGACGTTCCGGATATTTTCACCTTACCACTTGGTTCAAGCGCGGGTGCTTCGTTTCAGTAGTGATAAAACAAGAAGTAGGTTTGCCTGGGCCTTTTAGATATACTTCGAACCTTATATGTTAAATAATATCACGACGGATCCTCCACCAAGTTTCTCCTCCCTACAGATCACTCGGCAAGCATTTCCCTACACAGTACTGCTAGTTGATACATGTAAATGCTCCTGGAAAACAATCGAATTCATGCTAGTTTCTGCGTCGGAGTATGCTACGAGTTTGGCGTGGTATTCTCGAACGCTCAGGATGAGACGTGGAGCCACCACAAACATCTGAATGGACAAGAAAATTTGAAGAGCTCCTTCAAGTATCAGAACTCCAGTAGAACTTGTATTCTACATAAATGATGAGCAGTGGTTACACGCAGATGTTGGCGACAGGTCGGCGCACCGCGATTCCTGGAGAGAGATAAGTAAACTGGAGGCCAGAGACACCAGCAAAGCTAACATGTGCGGAACTTCAGCAGAAAAGTATAATCACGTTCACATTACAAGCTCACCTTGCAAAATAAAGAACGTGAGATTGTATTAGCACTCTGAAACAGTCCCCAATGGTCGATCCTGTCGATGGACTGAGTCGTCGCAGCTCACGGAAGTGTTTCACAGCAACCCAGACTGAAAGGAACAGTGCGAGGACCTCCCAAACAGTGTTGAGCATCCAAATCATTGAAAACAGAAGCAACGCGCCCCCTCCATTTACATAACTGCACACATATGTGTCAGAGAGTATGAACTCCTCTGGTGTTTGTCCAATGAGCCGTGTTCTTCAAGTCAACAAGTACAGCTTACCCAGTACAGTATCATTGAGTGCTATTGCCGCGATTACTCCGCAGGCGATGTTTACAGCCAGGAAGATAATAACAAGGAAGATGAGCATCATTCTAGATCCCTGATACATGGCATGCAACCGAGCAATCATGATCACTTGCATCGTGTGCCAGTCAGGTCCATATCACAGAGGTATTGCACCTGGGTCACTTACCGCCCAACATGGCAGTCAACGCCACAGTTGTGCCATTTGTTGCGTGGTTCATAATAGTGCCTAAAACTCGCAATCAGTGAATGCCCTTGCACTAGTATCAAAGACTCAGACTTACACCTATTGAGTCATCATGTTGAGCCAAGTTCAATGGTTGGAATCTCACTCACCCCTACATATGAGCGCGTTGATTGGATGGGAATGAGATGGTTGCAGAATACTTACTGCATCTGTCAGCGATACCAATGGCATAAGTTCTGTGGCCCGCCAGTCAGAAAAATGGAGCACATCGCATGTGAGACATACGCAGAATATTGACACTAGTCGTCAGAAATGAGCTATTAGCACAGTGCAAAGTTGTTGATCTCGACACATACATAGAATACGGTATTCCAATATAGCGTATCTAGAACATTTTGGATCCAGCACAAGTTGCCCATCACGCTAAAGCACAACATGAGGTACGAACAATCAAATACAGCAGGGTCATGAGAGACCAGCGTTGTCTCTGTCGCGAATTCATTGCATGCTCTTGTTTTATTCTGATACAAGACTTTTGCCACTCACCCAGATGAGTTCAATCTATGACACCATTCTTAGCGAGTTGGCTGCTCTGGCGATAACATCGGCGTACCTCTTGTCCGAGTGTTAAGACTGGAAATATCATGAGAACATCAGCGATTTTCGAACACTGCCCTGCTTACCCCAATCGTATACCACTACGACGCCCGCGGCAACTGCAAAACTGCATGTCAACGTTAGATCTAGACATCCTGATGTGACAAACCTGCCCAATAGCCGAAAAAAATATTTGAACTGATATACGGCCAGTAACTGGGATCATTTGAGACGTAGGTCATGTTCGAGGGATGAGTGAGCGAGTGGGGAATGTCAGTGGTGTATGACGATACTATCCCTTCCACTGCAATCGGCACCCCACAGAAGTCGGCAGTCACGCAAATGTCACTGTGAGTCATGATATGTCACGTAGGCCAATTTTAAAGTCAGTTCGGCAGTCAAGCGAGTGGGCAAGGTCAATTAGTATTCGTTCGAATGAGCAAGTATAGTATTGAATAGTAGATATACCTAAGTACGAGGGCAACTGTTATTAGTGCCGTAGTTGTAAAATCGAGGTGGATATATAGGGAGACCATGTGCATTGTAACATGACAAAACACGACTCACATTCTGTTCTTTTGCTGCAGTATAACCCATTTACAATTCTCTGAATTGAAACCTGAATGCGTGGTTCATATGTCGGGTCTGACGAAGCTCGCAGCTTTCCTCGTCTACCGCTGCTAACTTAAACTTGCGAATGCGGACGCGCAGCGCTGCACCAGTCGGCACTTCCATAGTGGGGGTGCAATTTGAAACTCCGTCATGGCATGTATCGGCAGGTGACATTTCTGCGTGACTTCGGCACTTTCGACTATCTCACTCAATTCTGCTTTAATCGTGGTCGTTCAACCTCGTAATGAGTTGTATTAGAGAGAGAATGATACAGATGTTAAGAATTTTGTGTTTAAGTAGCTAGAAATACGAGTTTTGTGAAAGTGCCGACTTCTGTGGGGTGCCGATTGCAGTGGAAGGGATAGTACTTGATGTCGGCAACTTGTTTCTAACGCCGTTGTTGATGTGTTTCGTATGCCTCCACTTCTGCATCCAAACCTACAACTGCTTTCTCTGACCCCCAAATTCAAAATCGTCGCTTGTATAGCGGCTGCTGTATCATGATTATCGTGGCAGTATCCACATGGCAAGATTCTCGCCTCCCCACGTCACTTATTAGTTCGGGAGAAGGCGAGAGTAGTATACTGCGGAACCCTTGGGTTATCAACTGCCTGAGCTTAAATACGCTACTTCTACCTTCCATTCCCCTCCCTTTCCATTTGTTCAGTACAGATGACTGATGACATCACTGTTTTGCAGAAATTCTTGAGCCATGATATTATCAACCACCTAGCTTTTTACAACCATTTTTCCTTGCACCCAGACTGCAGTGATTTCGCGGGCTTATAGAATTCCTGGTCTATTAGTGGCCCTTAAAATGGAGTATTCAACCTGACGCTCGAAACTGATTGTTCAGATCTGTTCAATATTCTACCTCACTCGTGAGTACTATATTTACCGTTATCGAAACATGTATATCTCCTACTGCCGCCATTATGGCTCTTGTTCTGGGTGTATACTGTTACCCAATGCCACCACATGCAGTTGAAAGAGATACTGGACGAGTTTTGGACGAACACTCATTCGCCTAGACATTCGATGATCTCACCATTTTCGATCAGCGGCCAAACCTTCCAGTTGAACACAACATTTCACGCGTCAACAGGATATCAGTGGACTCTGACGATCGTGGTAGCTTCAACAGACCATTGCAAGGATACAAACCCGACGCACAATCTGCAGTCGCACGGGCGGAACGCTACGATGATGCGACACCGATCGACGTATTTATACCACTGCCTCCTGAACTCTGGCAACAAATCGTTCTTCATCTCGATCTGTGGGACGTCTTGAAGCTGGTATTGGTTTCATTGAAGTTATACCGTGAAGGTACAAATCTCCACCATGGCCTCGTAGGCCTCGGTCATCACTTGGCCGCGGTTTCCAAAGAGATGCCAAAGAATCCGCACTGTATACTTATTAGTGCTTCTTTCTCTGCTGCGCGAGCCTCCGGCATTACTGCTACTGTGTTTGTCGGGCAGGATGCGACCCAAAAGAAGTTTGTGTACTTTCCGCTTGGTACTAAAAGCCTGACCCATTATGTACTAGGCTTACCTGGGGTTATATCACCGTTTCAGGCACGGCCCAGCCTGACGCCGCGGACGAATATCGCACTGGAAAATGGCTTTGAGCACCACATAGGATCCTCCACTGTGGTACATATCAGGAAGTATAGGTCTGCAAGTCGGCCTCGTCGCAGCAACTTTTTAATACTAATGCTCTACGGTTCAATGTCCAAACCTACATATTTAATACACCGTTCTGTGGTAAAACGACAACTAAATACAAGCGTCCTCATCGTCATTGCAGTATGTAATATACAGTCCAAGAATTTTGACCGCATCGTGAACATCGTGACAGACACTTACGGTGGTGGTTTCACCAACAATTTTGACTCGTTAGCACGAAAATCATGACCAAAACCACGTGCACAGCATGCCGGTGCTCAGAAAAGCTGCACCGACAACAGAAACAATTGGAAGTGAAGTCCTCAGGCCAGCACCAATGCTCCCCTTACTCGTGCTTCCAAGTTTCCATGTGTCTCCCGACATCCCGTTCGAGGTGGCCAGCACACTCGGGTCCACCGTCGCTACTGTCTTCGTGACCATCGTGGTGGAGAATGTTTGGGTGGAGGGGTTGCCTGACTCTGTATATGCGGAGGAGGAGAGGAAGACGAGTGCGGCACCAGGAGCGGGGACAGTCACTTGGCATGTATTGGACGATTGGTCGCAGTTAATCGTCTGCACGCTCTCTGTGCCCGTTAGGCGGCCATCAGACTGGAAGGTCCCGCCAAAGGTCTGAAAAGGACATCAGTGAAGAAAAAATAAATATTGGGTAACCGGACGCACCTGGCCTGCCCACGTAATGTTGGACTTCTCCGACACGGAAGGTGCCGCTAGATATCTAAGATAGAAGTTGATCAGCGGGTAGCACCACTAATAATATAACTATATAATACGTACTTGACTTGTATTTGTGCAGGCGTAGCGTTGTCTTGCCCAATCGCCGAGCCGCCGAGGGAAATCGTTGCTGTGTAAGCGCTCGCACCGCTCGGATCTGATACGTAATTGAGTAGTACGAGCCGCACGGGAGCACCATTCTCGTAGATTGCGTAGCCAGGGGTATACGTGTTGTTGGTGTTGGCCTGCAAATCAATGATTTGTGCGTTGCCAGAGGGTCCGAATGCTTCGGCGACGACCATTGTGCTGTAGAATATAGAGCCAATCGTCCATTGATGGAATAATGACTGGTTCGTAGGAGGTGCTAAACAGAAATGTCAGTATGGCCTTCTCTCAGTTGCTTTAAATTGCCAAGGGAGAGCTCACGAGTGAAAGGCTGGACGTGGTGGGTGGCTCAGTGACATCTTCAAAGGGCTCAGGACACGTAACTCACATTGTAGTACACATCTTGACCACCAACGTGCATCATTGCACCTGAAAAGTTGCTATAAGCCATCTGAAGGCCATAATCGAGTGCCCATAGAGTGGCGCCAAAGGTATCACTGATCCCTGGCAAGCCACCACATGATGCTGTGTTTGTCTCCATCATAATGAAGGGCTTTCCAACCGATTGCGCATAGCTGGTGGAATTGAGATAAGGGGCGACGATATTGATGCCAGAGGCATGGGTGAGGAAGTTTTGAAAAACGTCTTGCGGGATGACAGGAGAACCGATGCCGTACAAAGCGTAACAGTTATCGGTTGGGTAACTTGAGAAACTTAGTAAACTGCATGAAAATCACAAAGGGGCTTACTGTTCAACGGCTAGTGCACCCAAGCTTGAAGAATAGGATCCAACGAGTCCGGTGTCCCAGACAGCTAATGATATTAGATTAGTTTTTGGTGCCAACCGCAAGAAAAAATTAGAACTGAACATTCTGGAGTCCATTGGCCTGTGATAGATGGAGCAACCAAGTTGTTTTTAACAGGAATATTATTATCGCTGTTGATGGCGTTAACTACCAATCCAAACTCGCCGAAGTAGTCAGAGGGTGAGTATGTGGAAGGTCGGACATCGTGTCTGATGAAACTGTCAGTATTTTAGATTACAGAACAAAACACGACCACGAACGCTGCATAAAGATCGGGCTGCGATGATGAGTAGCGATCGGTGTGAGATGCGGAGAGGACATACCTCGTTTCCGACTTGAAACCCGAGCAAATATCCGGGACCACTCAACACAGCTTCGCCAACTTCCGCGATGCCAAGTCGGAGGTTATTCGTGTCGTTAAAAGGTATGCCTACGCCGATGTCACTGGCGATCTAAAATAGATTATATGGGCCTTACCGAGGAACCATTTTGTATTTACAAGGGCCGAGATGTTCGCCATCGTGTAAAAAACTTCGGCAGTGTAAAGAAGCGTTGGGGTGGCAGTCTGAAGTAATCAGAAAAAAGTGATTGAACATGATGTCGCCAATAACGATCATGCACACTGCACGCACCACATCACCCGTAGTGCCACGTTCTTTTGTCATCATCACACCTCCAGGAAGACTATCCACGAGGACTGCAGTCTCTTGAGTATTGCCTCCGACTCGAATGAGCACCTCGCCTGCCCGTTCGCGAAGGATGGCCATGAGGTTTAAAAAGGGAACCTGCAAGTATGTGCTATGACATGTGAGTTCATGTATGTGGACATGGCGGCCTCATCAGGACTTACGCATTTACACCGACTGCGACCATCTGTGATCAGTATATGACTTCTGGATAGGACATGATTGAACTAACAAATCTGGTTGATGACAGTGAATTCGATAGAAAATCCCATAAAGGACCCTTTCTGGGGTATACTCAGGCCCTGCACAGTTGCCGAAGAACTGGAGAGCTGGATTCCAAATTGTGTTGTGAGCCCTGAGGGGACGGGCGGGGGTGTTAGTACAGTAGGATCATAAGCTGCAGCGCCGGTATAATTTGCGGAAGATGCAGTGGTTGTTGGATCTGCTAATGGGACTTGGTGGTACACTGTCACGCTGGCATTGACGAGGGATGATAAGATAACAAAGACAAAAACACTGAGAGGGTGGAATAGTCGCATTAGCAGCCTGAGGGTGTATCGGAAAAAGAATCAAAAAAGCAGTGGACGATGAAAACAAGGACTAACTAGCTACAAAGTGATGGAGAAGGTCGTGGCAAAGCAACGAGGTAAATCTGGCTGAACCTCAATTTATTTACAATGGAATGTCTCTAAATTGGACTTCGGTACTTGCGCATTGCTTGCGCATGTGCATTGCATCACTGTTACTCGGCATTGAACCGAACTACTACCCGAACTAAATCTGATTAGATGTTTCCATGCAGCAGCTGGCAGGGCAACCCGAATGAATTACTCAAGAGCTTCGGATTCGACGACAGTCAAAGAAACACAAACAATTAATGCGCGGAGGAGGTACTCGCAAGTATCGTCTAACCCTTCTACTACCCTTTCACTCAGTTCGACAGGTTTTTTTAACGAAACCTTCAATACTCGTTTTCCGGACTACTCAGCTTCTTGCACTGAAGAACGCTGATTTGTGCAGGATGGGCTGCAAGAACGTCGAAACCAACAACGGTGTTAGCGACATTTAGGTTGAAACCCTGAAGATATTAAATCTGATGTCAAGCCAAGTTCAGCGTGGCCACCTCAAGCGCCCGCATGACGATGACGCCCCGTTTAGAACTTGTGGCGGTCCAGTGCGTGCCACATCGATCGAGTTCAGCTTCCAGCTTCTATGCCCATTCCTCAGGCCTCAAGTTCAAGCTTCAAGCCGAAGCTCACGGACTCAAACCAGTTCATCCCGCTTGCGACGCGCTTCTCTTCGCGAGCCATGCATGACACAACGTGCAAGTAGCATTAATGTGCGTACACTCAGGACGATCGAACGCTTGTGGTTCAGCGCTCAGCGTTCAACTACAGAATCTTGATGTACTCATTGCTGTGGTTGGAACAAATCTAGTACCTTCTGTCCTGCGTGGAATATGCCAGGGATCCAGGACCAGCGCTGCTTAATCCGTTACCCCCATTGGCCTCCAGTAGCAGCCACCTATGTCACCCGTCTTGATCCTTAGACTGAACCGTGACGCAATGTAGGGTCTAGCGCGCAGGTTATTTTTTTCCGACGACTTACCGCATGGAACATTATGCTGTGTTTCAAGTCTTTTGGGCAGACCAAAACGAAAAAAAGACAGCCCTTTCTGTCGTTGCACCGAGCTCGTGTATTCATGATAGCGGGACCTGTTATGCAAAACGCGATAACACTTTGTATTGTTCAATCGCTCTTTACCAAATGCCGAGTCCACCCAAACACAGCTGATGTCATTTTCCATGGAAATTTGCCGGCAACTGTCAAGTTGTACGTATGCAGCACGGGAATTGTATCAAGCCCTGGATTTCCTCATACGGCAATGACGACTATACTAGTCAGACCTAGTCAGGGATGGCTGTCCCAGGATCTGGTATATAATCTAATCTATCACATCGCTAGGAATCCCTCGGGCTTTCACCGTTCGACGACAAAGGTCGTTCCACTCGCTTTTACGACACTCCTCATCTTCCTGTCCCTATCTCAAGTCAGACTAACGGTCAAACAGAATCCGTTCACGAACCACATCCTTTCCCTACAAACATGAGTACATTCGCCTACCAAGCACACTTGGCCGCCCGTGTATGTCCGCCCGTATACCATGCTTGTCGTGTATTAACTTTTGGTATAGTCTTCAGGCGGACAGAAAAAGAAGTCTCATCACCACGACAGTTCTTCGCCAAAGCACATCGAAGAGCCTGTCTCACCAACCTACCATCCTCCTGTCCTGGCAAGAGCTCACGCTCACCAGTTCATTCAGAGTCAGAAGGGTGACTCGAGTGCTACTGCGCCCCGCGCAGCTGCGGATCCGCCTGTGTCTAATCATTTTGCTGGCCAGGGTGCTTACCGGGCCCGTGTCTTTGAACGAGTGAGTATTATGAGCTGATAAAGGAAACATCCCTTATTGAGACATCACGCGTCACCTCTAGTACGGGTTTTCCTAGGATCTGGCAGAGCACTGCAGAGTTCTCGAATATCGTTCGTGCACTTTGGCTGTGCCGTTGCGCATGAAGCACGTTTGTCAATGAGGCAGGCCTCCTATTACGAGGAGCTGGTCATCAACTTTTCGCCATTTGAGCCCTGGTGTGCCCATACGGTTTGGTGGATCCAAATTATCCAATGCTCTCTATTTTGTTTTGTTTTGTTTTGTCATGTTTGGAAGCGCATACGTCGATGTGCTTCGCCATTCGAATTGTGGTGTCTTGATACTCTTGTGTTGTATCCGGTGCCTTCCACTTTGTTATTTTTCTGCACACTACTCGTGTCTCGAAGCAGGTCTTAGGAGCTAGTCTTCATCCGTCGGGTATATTGATACGCTTCCGATGCTTTCCACTTTTGTTTAGTTTCTTCATGACCCGCTATTTGATCCTGTTTACGACTTTAACGACTTTACCATACAGTTTGATACTATGTATGCCGGTTATCATCTCACAAATTGTCGATGGTGGTTCCAAAATGCCCGACTTGGCCACTTTATTGAAAAGGCTAAGAGCAAGTAGGCTAGGATTTGGGACAAACACCGGGCGCAGTGTATGTTCCCCAGTAAGTGAGTCAGAGCCAGATTGCCGCAAGCGACCGACTGAATGCACAGCCTGTCTAGAATGACTATGCCTTTTGAGTGTGAGCGCTAATCAGAAGAGCTGGTTCTAGTGAAAAGGCTGCTGATGGCGTGATTTATTGAGTAACATAACAATCCCGGGGCCGGGACATACCGATGCCCGTCGAAGAGAATGGGTGCAACGGGCTAGCACCTAATGGATATGATGGCCTCCTAATCCAGGTGTTGCGCTTTAATTTAGCCTAGATAAGTATGAGATGGAGTGGGAAGATAGAAAAGCGCTCGACGGCTGCCCGCTTGCCGCGTGCTGTTGCGCTCTACGGGGCATGGGGGAAATAGAAAAGGGCCCGGCGGCAAGCCTGATTCCGGGAAGACCGGAAAGAGTGTTGCCCGAGCGTCTTGAGCAAGAATGTCGCCTTTAGAAGCCAAGCTTGTGCACAGCCACGAGCGCCTGCAGCATATAGCGAACTTATCTTTTAGGATTAATTGTTTCCGAAGGATAAGGTTCTTCTGGAAAACAGACCGCGGCCTCCTCGATTAATGTTGCGGGAGATGATGGCACCCGAGACCGTTGTTTGTGACATTGTCAGAATTGCAACATACGACGACGAGACTGCCTCGTACTTTGCAAAAAAAAATTATGTAAATCGGATCAAAAAAAATTCAATTCGACCACTCACCGGCGTGCACATGTCGTCCTGAATGTCCTGAATCCAACATCTGGATAACATGAAACCGAGCTAAGCGGAACGCTGCCTGCAACTGCCTACACAATTAAAGCAATATTGGTGGCGATAGAAGCACGGCTGCAGTTGGCCCGTAAGATTAGAAATTCACACGACGCGACGGCGTAAGTTCATACTACTCTAGCTCTAGTAGACTAGTACTATTCACGGTGTACAGCTGTTCTACAGTGTACACAGCCTTTGAATCCGAAATCTCCTCGACAGGCCCATCAGTTACTACATGCACAGCACTCCATTGCAATATTCCGCAGGTACGATTCCATCACCGTCCTATTCCGGTCATCAATAGGTTAAATCGTTTGCTATGCATAGTACTTCTCTTGACGCATGGCCTATGCAGGCGAGTGGTACCAAACACGTCGGTACTGATCAAAAGTATATGTCTGGTGCAACCGCGAAGTCCACGTGAGTCGCTCTCCAACTAATCTCTAAACAAGGACTCTTGTCAGGCAACTATCCAGTCTTTGGCAACAGGCCAAGTCTTGATGCCGGTGTCCTTAATGGTCAAATCTATCCATATCGATTCTCAATTCGAAATGGGCAGATCTCACACACCCCACGTTTTTTCAGGCTGTCCTATTGTGGCAGCCAGCAGGCCGTTGGGCTTTTCTCTTAGTATGGTATGAGGGCGCCAATTTCATTCTTACCACTTTCATGTTGTTAGCTTCTATCGCCGATGTTTTGGTTCTTTGACAATCGTGTCTTGAGCGTCAACCGCCATGGCAAGCTGTCATAGCCGGGCTAAAGTACGACCGTCAAGGACATGCTGCAGGGTACTATATATACCACTGATGGCAAGTAGTACCAGCAGCACCAACTCAGCCCACTCTCAAAAGACGAACGTTACATTCTAAACGCTCAATCAACATGTCAACTTTCGGGACCCAGGCACGCAGGTGCGCTAATACTGTAAGTGACATCGCTTTGCAGAGTGGCCAGCACCTGATGAGCAACGTTCACGTAGAAGAGCTCCAAGCAGTCATCTTGCAGTTCTGACTCATCCTCGCACAAGCACGTCGCTGCTGCTGATACCGATGCCGAGCATCGAGGAACCATTCCTGTTATGAGCAAACTTCACATGCACATATTCGATCGCGTAAGTGCTTGTAGTAACAATTGGACTGTCGTTCGGTGTCTTATATAACTATAGTATGGGGAACCTAGCTCGACACTTCCTACGAAACACAAGAAACAGGACGTTGAACAACGATCGCACACGTTGCCCTTACCCATACAGTGTGCTGCGAATGCCCGAATTCACCTTCGAGTAAGTGACACATGCATCTAAGCAACGACACAGGATTAAGTTGACATTGTTGCAGAGTCAATCGACGAAGTGATATATGGAAACGAGAAAAAGCTTTCCTTGAGCTGCCCGACAAAATATCATCTTGCATCACGCTTCGTTGACCATATATATGTGGAAGTCTGACTGGTCTATGACTCGATACATCCAACTTGATAACTATTAGTGTACTTCTATACAAATGTCCAGATAGCGACCATACATGCCAGCTGCTGGCACCGCATTTGCAAAATTCATGACCTCATGCAATACATCACTCGCATTTTCACGCTACAGAATATTCATTTGATCGATGTATGCATCATGATAATAATACTTCATTTCTACTCGTTCGGAGCCACAGGAACAAACGTACCATCCTCCGTCGGCGTACATGGTTCCTAGGTGTAAGAGTACTAGTGGCGCTTCAACATATCCAGATTTTCCAAGCCACTGCAAGACCAAACACCGTTCCTCGGAGTCCGACCTCCGCTCTCCTCCTAGTACCTGACATGCCATTCGTGCCTTTCGAGCCACTCTTGTACAAAAACCAGGAATTGCCAAGGGAGCTAGGCATCCTTTGGGTCAGCCTGTAACGAGTCTAGATGCAGGTTAATTAGTTCCTAGAGTGCATCAAGAAGCAGGCCAAGACAGGAATCACAGCCAAGAAAGAGGAACCACTAGACGGGATATCCTCAAACGCGAACACCAATCTCGTGGATGCTGAGTGTCGAAATTGGATCTAGACAGCTGATTGTTCGAGAGTCCCACGAATCATACAGGAATGTATGGGACTATTTTCTCATGAGCTCGTCGTCGTCCAGTATGTCGCCTGAATAGCCATTATGGAAATCTGGATGTCGAACTGACCCACCTTTTGGGTCGAAACAATGATCTTGGCAGTCTGAGGTGTAGATGCCGGTCGAAGGCATTAGTATGTGTTCGATTGCTCGTATCCGTATGCAACAGTCAGTTCGTTGAACAGCTTCGATCATACACATACTACGTTGGTGTTTATCAATGCGACTGCAAAACACAGTCCATCCTGCTAAGTACAACCGTAAGAGTTTGAAAGTGAAAGTGCCCAACGAGATAATCTAGACCGGACTCGGGCGAATGAGTGTGAGGGGAAGGATACTGGGTCGCAGGGAGTTAGAGCCACGGTAGGAACTCGAGCATCAGTGAACTGGAGGAAAGATGATAAGAGTATATATGACGATACATAGTACACAATCACAAACATCTGTATAATTCTGCTATCCATCATCACATAGTGATGTTTGACTTTATACAGGAAAGGACAATGCATAAATTTCCTACACCAGCGTTTGATCGGGAGAACACCTACATATCGCTGGAATTCTAACTCGAAAGTGATATGGAGTAAAATCAAAGGGTCGAACTGCATGAGACACTATCGGCACCTCAGAAGTGAATTCCATCGTGTCAAAGTCAGGCGTGAAGGCCTTAATCTTCCGGATGACTACAAGGTGTTTACCAAGTGCACAAGTTTAAATTAATATTCTCGCGCTAATTTTGACGCCCTCTTCTCCAAAAAGTTGATTTTCTTCGAGTATCGTGCAACGTCCCAAGCCAGACCAAAAAACTCGTGTTTTGCAGAGTACCACGAAGTGTTTACGAAGTGCAAACTGATGCCTTGTGCGAATTTTAACGCCACCTTCTTTAAATTGTTCATGTTTGTCTACTATATATCAATTGCGAATTTGTGCAAAGAAGTGCCACTTTCGTATCGCAGCCGGAATGTGTCCATCAAGCAAACATATACAACGTACAGCTTACTTCAAATTGTCACGCGAAATCGTATGAATACCCAACAACTAGCAGTTGTATTCATCTGCCACGCGTCTCGCAGCGGTCCAAGGTTTTGCGCAAATGCTGTGTAGTGCCGTGTAAGTGAATTCGGGACCCTGGTGACAGCCGCCCCCCATCCAATCACCAAGGTGTTAATGGGCGAAATCAAGTATTTATGACCGAAGTTGTGCTATTGTCTACAATAATTGGTATAGTTACATTTTGCTTCAGCAATTGCTGACGCCTGCATAGACTAAAACAATATAGTAGTGGGTCATACATTCCTTCGAGCCCTTATTGACCACTCGTCGAGTATATCATATATCACACCACCCATCAAAACCATTGCACTTTTTGCACCTCACGAGACGAGCGGCTT